AAAAAATAATTAAAGCTTTATTATTCCCATAAACCACGAGTTTTCCCATTATTATCCTGGTGTTTGAAATTTCAAAAGGAGGTTAAAAAGATTACTCATTTTTAATTGCCGATATTAATTTGATTGGAGTACGTAAGTCGTTGATGAGATTAAAATCATGTGCTTTCGATTTTGCAATTATTTTAACAGTGATGCAACATACCTATACACCGTAAGTATAACAAAAGGGCAATAAATTTGCTAATTTTCCACTTCAAGTTGCGTATTAATTAAAAAACAAAGTGCTCGTCTACTTGGGTTATTAATGAACGTCGTTAGCTCATGAAACAAATATTTTCACTCGAGCATTTTACTAGTACGTTTTCCAGATGCTTGCATACGATTTTACTTAAAAATGTCCATTGGAAAAAGTAACGTATAAGATGTGACGAACTAAACAGTGGGAGTTGGCCAACCTTTTCAACAAATAAAAGTGTCGCCTTTACTACCCTTGGATATATTGACCCCAAATCCTACGTGTGCATTGACTTTTTTAAAGTACTTCTTTCAATAAGTTGGTGACTGCTCTTGTGAAACTTTTAGCAGCAAGGAAGACAACCACTCCTAAACATACATTATTCAAAACGAAAAGTGCTGTACGCGTTTCCTTGCCACTTTACAATAATGATCAGTTTATTGAAGAGTCTGCTAGCTTTTATTTCAACAGCGTTCTATCGCTAAAACATTACATCAGAGTGACTGAGTCCGGGTCTAATTTGCTACATTTTCCCGTAAATATTGAGGCTTTTCCTGCACCCATTTTACTGCCAAAAATATTCGTTTTTTATTTTTGGATATGGCATTCATTTAAATATGCTTGACATGGGAAATCCTTTTAATTAATTAATTAATCCACCCCACATGTGGGAAGAAGGGCGGGTTGATAAAAATGCAATTCATTTGGTGGGTGATGAGTTCTGTACAGTCATTTTTTAATTTTAGATCTATTACCGAGTCATTCATTTGCTTATCTGCTAAATAACAGTCAACTTTTTCTCTTTTTATTAACACTAATTTAATTATGAAACAACAGCGAATGAGCTTCTGAGAAACTCCATCAACTCTTCCCTTGAAAAAATATAATAATAAATTACACGATATTAAAAAAGAACTGATAAATTATAAAGATTCACAAATGTCTTCAAATGGCATCCTAAAAAATACAAATCTTCAATATTTCCAGGAAAACGCAGATTAATAGAAACCCGTCAAAACCTGATTGAATCAGTAGCTCTGTTTTGCCTTTTTTTAAGTCACAACACGGTCAAAAACCTTTTAGTAATATTAACACCAAATGTACTTTACTTGTGTCCGATTCGATATCCGCTTTTAATGACGAATTTTTCTACATTCCAGTTCGACTATTTTCAGTTTAGAAACCGATTGATTTATATTTCATCACACAAGCGATTAAAAGTACAAAGTTAAAGTTTTACAACCACACTGTAATTACACGTATCTAATTCTCTAAACACATTACACGTGTGTAAGTATAGTACATGCCAAACAAGTACCACTTACTTGTTTGTTCTTTTTAATTGTAAGCAATTAGAGATTTAAATTGATTTAATTTGTTGTCGGTAATATTATAGTTGCCTTCCTTATTAACGCTTGTAATAAAATTCTATTGGAAATCTTAGTACAAGCAGATGAAATAATTCGACCAGGATTAATATCCTGGAATACTCGGATCGTTTAAGATTCATTTAACCCACACAGTCCGCACACCTACATGTTTTTCACATAAATACATTCCTCCCAAAAAATCTAATATTTACATTTCAACGTCAAGTTCTGCACCAGATCTCGAATTTGAGTTATTGCTTGAAAAGATATGGATGCAAATACACAGTTTCAAGAATATTTTTGGAGTTTGTGAGTTTTTTATTGACATTTTCCTTGTTTTCACCTAGTAAATCATTTTTTGGGGGCTTATAAAGGTGATGACTACAAAATTTGCATTTCGTTTTTTCGTCTCCAACGCCTAACTCAAACAAATAAAATTCATGCAAAGAGAAGTTCCTCAAACTTTTAAAAGTTTTGCTGCATGTTAATTCACATTTTGCTTTACTTAAAAAAAATGATGTGCAGTTTTCATCCATAAATACAGTCGAGAAACTTAAATATTTCAAAGAGCTCTGCACTGCATACTATTTAGTTATACTAATAGACCGTTTTACTATAATTGGTATCCATATTTGGGTAGTCTGGCCTTAAAATGATTGATTGGGGTAATTCATAAGCGTACGCTTGAGTATTATGTACCTAAAAGTCCACAGCTTGCATAGGATAATATTATCAAAATGTAATTTAATTATGTCTACACGCAAAATGTGTCCAGAATATCTTACGGTTGACAGCAACAAAGTGGGTGAAAAAAAAATGATTAGAGCTGTATGCATCATTGGAAAAAGGCTCAATATATTTTGAATCAGTTGGAATTTTTCCTACAAATAAAGACAAATATATACACTTTAAAAACTGTTAGTCATTCACTGATCTGATGCTTCAACTCTTACAATACCAGATTGAGAACGTTAATGTTTTGAGAAATATCGGCTAAAGACCAGTCGTTCCAGTCTTGAATATATAAATTCTTGAAGGTGAAACTTAAAAGCAGTTAAATCAGGCAATCTAGGTGGCTTGTACATATTTGTAGTTACGAAATGTAATTTAGTTTTATAAAATATGTTCACATATTTTATAATATATTTAATATGACTACGCACCGTATGGCTTATTTGATCTGAGATTTTGAAAATCGTGCAATTAGTTACATATGAATTGATTCGTTAAACCTGGATTAGATAGAGAGTGCAAATAAGGATTAATGAAATATGTCAATCAATAGGTCATAGGGTTTCTAGTGAGTAAATCACCGAAGTAAATAATGGAAATTAGAATAGCAAAATTGGTTGAAGCTTTTCCTATACGTTAGAAATTTGTATAAAAAACCATATCTCAAAAGGGTAAATTTTGCATCCAGCTCTACTACATTTACGCATTTGTTGATTTTTGAAAAAGCTGATGTTGGTTATAGAATAAATTTAAACTTAAATGCTCATCATATGTGTTCATAGGGAAATCACTCTTGACTTGAGTTTCGGATGTAAATATTCACCCCATATTATGTAGGCTAGTAATACGCTACGTTTATTACTATAACTATTGTAGAAAAAATTGTCGATTGACAAAAAGCGTTCACACGAAAAAAATTAAAAATTAACAGGTTTTTTTCACACTTCTACTCGGCTGTGATTCTGAGGGTTTGCAATTCAAGAATCATCTGAAATGGTTAAATTAACGGTTGAAATATTGAAATAAAGAAGAAAACATTAATAAAATAAATATATCTATGAGCTTCAATGTATTACTTAAATTAAATTTTCGATTTTACGAGTAACATTAAAAAAATAGTTTTTCATGGTTTGTTAACTTCATAATAAAGTACATAAATTAATTATATAATCTTGGAAAAATTATTCCGATGTGCTGACATAATTTTTTCAACCAGTTTCGACCCCGTATATATAAAAGTGCTTTGAGTCAACAGACAATTTAATGTAAAAATGAGCGAGTTTACCAAGATATATACAGGGTGCTCCTTAATGATTTTTCATTATTCTTATTATTTAACTACGTCGCCAAACTTCAAGAGGTGATTCTCTGAGTAATTTTGAAACTAATCAAAAACACTATTTTACACATTTAAATGTGAAAAACCAATAGGAATTTGGTGAAATTTTTATTGCTGAATATTATAAGTTTTTTTTTCATATTATCCCATGAACATGAAAGTGGGTTTTATTTTTTACCTCAAAAACGAAGCAAAATATAAAAAACCGCAAACCGGCAACCGACAAAAAATTTATATTTTCAGTTGCTTAACCCGAAAAATTACAAACTTAAAAAAATCAATAACACACATTTTCTTTTGAAAAATATGGACACGCCTTCCTCTGAGACGTTAGTGTGCTAAATAATTTTAGTCTATAGGTACATTGAAAAATTGGAGCCTCATTTCTGTAAATACCATTGCCACACTTAAAAAATTATGAGAAAATTACAAAAAGTTATTTACAAAATACGTTTTCTTATTTAAATTTCAACCCCCTGTATATTGATAGGGAATCAGTTCAGGACGTATACTAATATAAAATTTTCTTCTTAAAATCACTCATAAAATATTAATAACACCCTGTATGAAGTCGTGAATCTACGTTCTATTACGTACTATTCTACGTGGGAATGTATGGTTCAAAATGATCCGTTTAAACCCGAAATTAATTGCTTAAATTTGCATTTTTTAACCTTAAGCAATTCGGACGTTTCCCAATTACTTTAAGTTTCTGGAACAATTAAAAGGCTTTTGATTTATTTATTCAAAGCGGTGCTTTCAAGGAAGACAACTCAGAAGAAGATGAAGAAGCCAATCATAGGAAATACTCTGAAAAATTGAAAATAATTGCTCATACTTGAGTAAAACTAAAAAATATATTAGTGTGGAAAAACATGCGCCTTTATTATCCGTTCAAGGTTTTTTTTAATTGAAGTTAAAATATGAGCGAAATAAAATATGAAACATAATTTTAAAATTACAGAGCAAAATAATAAATTTAACCAAATTTGCGTTAAAGAAGGGTAGATCATTACAGAGTATTAATCTTTTTGTTTATTTCAATTTTCTTAATAAATTAAACCATTTTTCCAGATTTCAAGGAAGATTCGATATTTTCGGTGAAAAAATAAAATTTGCATCCAATCTCAGAATAAAAAAAATGCTAAAAGTTAGTTACGTTAATTTAGTAGCTAAAAATGCATTATTGCGAGTTGAAATAAATCCTTTGTGCATTTTTGAGAGACGAAAGTGCAGCTTCATTGACATCGTGATAAAAAGCAGATTTTAAAATATTAAGAAAAACATTCCATTCTGTAGACTTTGCAAATAATTACGTACTTACCAAAGTCAAGGTATCTTTAACTCGGTTTCAATAACTAATTTTCATTAAAAGTAGCAGTTTGAATCATGTTCGCTACACTGGCGTTTTTGGAAACAATTTGCACTAATTCCCTTCAACTAAGTTTTGCACTTATAAAAAAATCTACTTGTGAACGTGATAACAGCGAAGTATATTGTGTAAATTTCACGTTGTTATTCACTTTATCTCCAATTAAGATGCGTAAAAATTTCGTCAACAATACGAGCAATATTCAACAACTATTTTCCGCGCTTGTTGGAGAATAGGAGACCGGAGGATCCATCCTAGGTTGGAGACGCACGATTGAGTCTGGTTGCCATCCACATGTTTTCAAACCGAAACAGAACGTTACGCATGCCGCAATGAGGGAGAATCCAGCAGGTTGGAGGAATAACCGCACTGACAGTGAACTTGCTAATCAGTGGTTTTTTGCCAGAACCATTCAGACCAGGAAGTGAAATGAGGATAATGTATTCGCAAATTGAAACGCTGAATTTGCCTCCAATGCTCACAGCGGGTTAAAAATTAAGTTCTCATTTGAAGTCGATGAGGAAAAAATCCAGACAAGCTAGTTTTTCTGGTGGAATAGTAATATTGAACTAGTTAATCTTTTTAAATGAATGATACTTCATTTTAGTGCTTCCCTCTCTAGCATATACATCTTTTCTTCTTAAATATTGAGTACTTTTTACCTAACCTAACGTACCTCTTAAATATTGAGTACAATTTAATTGCCTGATAAGATTACTGCAAATGGTTATTGTGATATTTTTCAGACAAGCATGCAAAACCGTCATCGAAAGCGAGTGCGATTTTATACAGTATTTTGTTGTTTTTCGAAAAAAATGTATAACTATGTCTGGCTCCCTCAATTAATTACAATCAGTGAATCTTCCTGTCCACCTGTGTTTAAAACAATGCTGTATTAATTACTTAAATAAGCCAAAGTTGACCAATTTAGCTAAGTAAAGTAGGTTTAAACAGACAATAAAAACTCAATTAAACATGCGCCCATTCCTGGCCAAAAAGGCGAATCTGGTAAAATAATAATTCCACTTAAAAACTGCTCAGCTGCAAATGTTTGTCCAGAAAATGTATCATTGACAAGGTGTAGGAGAATTGCMAGACTACACGTTCGAGAAATCGTTCCAAATGCKTATTCTGTAGTMAGTGTTCACCATTGTGAGTTATTTTAAGGCCTTCAAGTACCAAGTTTAAACCCAACAAYTAAAAATTTGAAAAATAACACTTACCTTTAAAGCTGCAAATTTCCGTCTCCATTTCCACCGTCGTAGTCCTCAAAASAACAAAGTAAACTTCAAAGATCTTTGAAGTTCGAAGAAGACACTTTAAAGTCGGAAATATTCACTCATAGTAAAAAGTCGGCGCAWGTCAATTTGAACGCCACAACCGTCAGATTCATTAACCTTCATCATTAACATTCATTCAACCACATTGAAAGTCAGATTCTTTATAATTTGAAAAATCGCGTTTATGTTGTGAAAATTACACTTACGACTGGCAAAATGCAATAAACGGTAAAMGGAAACTTCCTTTASTGRAAAATAAGCAAGRTTACGCGCAGAAGTAGYAAAAATYMGAAATMTTTTGAAAAACYTACGGAGCGAAAGCCACMCAGTCTCTACTATCAATCTTTAAACAATTGACTATCTGGMCYAAATGAYGTACAAAACTASCTACTTTTGAACTCTSATGCTGATAGGCATASATATAGTTAGAATACGTTTTRCTTTKACAATAGTCTCCGGAATGAKCTTCATRGGTTAAATTTAKGTACATTTTTATTTGAATTATCACAGAAATATGAATGAAAATCTCATGCTGATAGACATTTGAACTCTCATGCTGATAGGAATAAATATAGCTAGAATGCTTTTTACCTTTACAATAGTCTCCGGAATGATCTTCATGGGTTAAATGTAGGTACATTTTAATTATCACACAAATATGAATGAAAATCGTCAAACGTAGCCACTCGCGACTGACGTCACGAAATTTATACCGCAAACGCCTCAGTRAAATTTTCTGTGAACTGTGAACATACTCCTGCGATTTACATAACCTAACCTTCTAMACAGATAACCTCAAATCCTAAACTCACGGCTAAAGTTAAGACAATCCGAAATTAAATCTACATTATGGACAGTGTGGCAAATTTAACTGGAGCCCAAAAGGGGGAACTCATGGATCAAGTTAAACAACAAATAGCAGTTGCAAATGCCCAAGAACTCCTCACAGTAAGTTTCATTGAGAGTACAAGTCTTGTCACTTAAGCTTCGAACTTTTGCAGAAAATGACTGAAAAGTGCTTTAAAAAGTGTATATCAAAACCAGGCACATCTCTGGATAGTTCAGAACAGGTAATTATAATCCGGTGTTAGTTGAACAAAAGTTCAAAGTACGACTGCAAACCCTGAAGTCGGAATGGGCAGAAAATTTCTAGCAGTATAAGAAAATTTGAAACGTTGGAATTATTTTTTTAGAAATGTGTAGCAATGTGTATGGACCGATATATGGACTCATGGAATCTCGTTTCAAGAACATACGGTATGCGAATCCAGCGTGAAAGAACGAACATGTAATAAAAATCTGAATAGTCATCAAGCATGTGTTCTTTAGTCTAGTTAGTCTACAGATTGTTTTTGTATATATGGGCGTTTTTACCATTTGCCTATGGATTATTTGTTAAAATGATGACACATTTATAGCAGTGAATTAAACATTTTGAGTATGTCGGCTTATTTTAATAAAATTCACGTAAACAGAAATGAATTTTCAAAATAAAATTAATATGAATCCAACGAAATATTTATTATGAATAAGTTACACGTTTTTAATACAAAAAATCACAACTTTTTAAGGCACACAAATTATACATACATCTAAATCTTGGATGATTAATCGGTTACTAAGTACTGAAAACTGGAGGAATGTATTAGAGCTATGGCACAATTTTTCTAAAGCGATCGTGTGTAGTAAAAAATAACTGATATTGAAATAAAATGTATGTCGAATTTTTCATCATGTTTTAAATAAATTATGTAATTTGACGAAGAAATCACTGTCCATTTAAGTACATACTACCAAAGTCAACTTTAGGAATCATGCTATGCTCCTAAAGACACTCACTTATTGATGATACTTCAGAAAATAGTTATTCTGCATTTATTTATAAGGCACTTCTAAGCAATAGCAAAGTAAATATATAAACATACAAAATATTTACTAATGTAATTACCTAGGCGGGAGTATTGTAAACTTGATTTGAGCAATTTATAAACTTGAAAGTTGGCCTATATTATCCTATACTCTAATCTGGTAAACAACATTCAATGAAAAGTTAGTTTTACTTTCCTTTTATTTTTACTTATCGCTGTTTGCCAAACCAGACAGTATAAAACTGGACAACTGAAACATTGATACCTGCTTCATGCCACTAGTTCTTTCACAGATTTAATAAGCAGTTAAAAAATATTAATCAATCAACCCCTTTTCAATCAGTCACTTAACAAAATATATAGGGGGTGTTGCAGATTTGAAAATCCAAAAGCATAAGAGACGCTAAGCTCAGCAAATTATAAATTACGGCCATATGATTTTCTTTTGAGTCTTACATGAGCTGAATAAAATGTTTTCGGTTTATTAAAGCAAATGAAGGAATGGGTGGAGAAAGTCAAGTAACATTTACAAAAATTTAATTTTTTAAGACTAATGGTGTTAATCGACATTTTAACTCTTTACATGAATACAGGTGATGAATTTAAGAGACCAGAACACTGACCACATAAGTTCTTCTAAACCTGCATTTAAACTCCAGCACACGATAAAGGTTTAGCTCTAACTAAGCCGAATGCATGCTAGACAACCATGGTTTTGCAGCAAACAATCACTGCCTAAAGATTTCAACTTTTAAAGCGTTTTATTCCACGGACCGAAGATCAGTGATGTCACGATATTTCGAGGTGTTTATTTTACATGTTTCTGAAATGATCGAAACTGGTGAGAAAATGTTATCATGTGCTTGGCGGAACAAGAAAATATTAACATTTATTTATAAATCCTTTATAATTCCATTAGGTTCGTATTCTTATTGGCCAATTTAATATAATCGATTACAAATCTCCGGCGTTAGGAAAGTTCTATTCCGACTGTTACACGATTTTAGCAGAATTGAAGTTTTTAGGTTCTTCTAAAATCACAGTTGTTAACAAAACAGTACAATGACGTGCTTGATGATTCGATCTAAAGAATCCTGCTTCAGGTTTTTAGATAAAAATTATCATGATAAAAACAAGTCACTCAAAAGATGGAAATAGAAATAAACAGCTTCAACTTCAACTAATCCCTAAGAAAATGTCTTAAATTGAAAAAAATGGGATTATTGCACCAGAAAATTTAGATAATATTAATCAATAAATTCCATTTAAAGCAAGAGAGCAAATGTGACTAAAGAAAAGGACGAAGTTTTAATTAAAATAGTAACGCAGTTTTAAAAAAATTATAAAAAACGTGGCTCGATGTTTTCGCCATTCTTGTCATGGAAAATGAAAAATCGACATTTCTTACATGTGAGATAACCAAAGAATGAAGCCACATATAAATAACATAAATATAAAAGCTACAGAAAAAAGACTTAGAAATTGTTAACGTCAACAAGAAAAACAAAGAAATAATTAACAAATTTCTATACATTTTCCAGTAAGTTCCCAAAAAGTGTTAGTCTTTCTTATGCAGTTTAGAAACGTATCGAGTATTGTAATTTTTTCTCGAAAACGAATAGAAACAGAAAAAGATCATAAGACATATTTTAGTGGATTTATCTGAATTTTACTAATCGGGCTAAAGCGTTTCTAAGCTCTTAATAAAAACCCAGTTTTTTAACACTCAACGCACTGTATCATGCAAACAGTAATTTTCGTATTTTGCTGAGCAGAATTTTTTTAAAGCTTTTGTTACTTTTACTCTGAAACACCCTTTATACAGGAATCGCTGTTTAAACTGGGCCCTATGTTTTAACTCGAATTATATGAGCACATAAATAGTTTCTAGTCAAGTGGTCAGTATTTAAGCCGTAGTTTCAATGATTGACGTAAATTTACATGAAATATATGATGCAGCACCAAAATGAATCTTAAAAAAACCAAGAAGTAAATTTCGAGATTTGTCATAGGTCCCCATACTAAACAGACCATTTTGAACCCATCACCTATGTGTGACGAAACAATTTAATCTTTATTGTACAAAGATGGCAAGATATCATTATTTTTGCGAGATATGTTTAACTGTAAAGGTGGAAGATCTGACAGAGAATTTAAACTAGCCTTATGTTTTTGACCTAGTTTTGATTTATCCACCATCGATTTAGAGTTGTTCATTTTTTGAGACACGTTTTCACTCATGGATGGACTTTTTAAAGGCACAGATTCTATAGATATATTCGAACTAACGGGCTTTTCTGAAGCTTCACTATCTTCTGCTATGGAACTAGTATCTTCATATGTGTCGTCCTCCTTTATATCTTTTAAGCCTTTATGTAACGGTATGCTAATATCAATCGAGGCTTTAGTATCATTATTAGGCAAATTTTCGCATATTGTGGGGCTTTTTATGTAGGTGTCGTTTAGTTTCCCGTTTAGTTCATTTTTTTTATTGCATTGCAAATACTTCAGAATATCTGAATTATCGTAACTATCCCCAGTTGTTAGCGGGTTCTCTTTATTCAATACATCGGTGAGTCTTGGACTGTTTACATCAAAAGTTGCATTAAATTTGCCACTTACCATATTGTCGTTACTAGTTTGCATTTCCGCACTTGACTTGCTGCAGTTAACATCAGTCTTCCTATAAATACTATCTGCATTCGATGACTCCTCTTTATAGCTACCATTTGGGGTTCCATTTAAATTTAAATTGATATCTAGAACATTGCTTTTGCTTTGAGCAAGTTTTAATACTTGTTGCAATAGAGGAACTGTGGATTCTTCCATAACATCCAGACCTAACTCTTTGGCAAGTTTTCGTTTTTCTTGATAATGGCCAACAGCATTCATGTATGACTCCGACTCATAAACCGAAAGGGTAAATTGAAGGTTGAAAAACTCCAAAAATTCCCCGACTAGATAAAACATGGCTCTTCCCTCGGGAGTTTCAAGGTAGGACTGGACACGCAAATTCTGTAGTGGTTGCTGCTTGTTTAACTACGATTTAAATGCATAGTAATATTAGTTGATAAGGAAATTATTGTAGTGCAAGTCTACCTTAATGTCTTCTTCGAGGGCAAGGAAAACACTGGCTCTCAGTTCAGCCTAAAGGAAATTGAGGATTTTAAGTATAGAAACAAAAACAACGTTGCGTGAATTGAAAGTTATTACCCTAATTTTGGCCAAACATCCGTTTTTCTCCAAAGTTTGAGTCATTAAATCTCGTAGCTCCACATCCTCCTCCAATACAGACATTGTTATTGTCGCAGTTAATAAAAATAAATCGCGGAAAATATACGGAAAAATAACAGAATTGTTTCTAATTCGGTGCAATTACTCGAAATTGAAATGTTTTGATTCTTAGGCGCACAACTGCAGAAATTCCGATGTTTGGAACATCACCTGTCAAAAGACAGGTTTTTACCTATGGAACCAGAGGTCCCGAAACAATTGTTACCTTCATTTTTTTTATTGCACGAATTGGCCGTTGAAATAAAAATTGAAGTAACAAAGTTCAAGAACAGGATATAAAACGAGTTTTCCAATTCAGTAAAACATTTTTTATTTTTTCAACCGCGAAAACAATCAGAGCATACTTTTATTTTGAGCATTTTAATTTTCCAAACACTTAAATACAAATTGTGTTTTTGTTTTTGGGTTTCTATTCTGTTGCATTAAATATTAATTATTTTTTTATTATATTATTTCTGCTTCGCCCCACAACTCCTTTGCGATCTATGAGATTTTTTGGACTTGTTCGGGTCCAGTTTCCTCTTCAAGTTCTTCAATAGCTTAAAAATCGCATTTGGACTGACACCCATGTTTAGCAAATCTACCAAACACCTAAAACATTTTGATGTTTGCAGATTCAATTACTGTTATATTTTGCTATGTTGAACTGCTCCAGGATCGGCTCGTTACGAACACTTAGTTGAAACGAACGTCTGAAAAATCGTTAAAAGCTTACCTGAATACGTCTTTATTCATGTGAATACCGGCTAAATAAGTTAATTCCATTAGTTCATCTTGGTGTGGACGTAACTCATTCCTGTGTTCACGAAAAATATTTATTCCAGGCATTAAGGAGGTTTTAAAATAAATTGTTATTTTACTGTAGCACCAAATGTTCTGACATTTAACGTAGTGATTTACATGTGACGTGCATGACACATATCCACTTGAGGCGCGTTCCACAATTTAATACTAGTAATAAAATATTTTTTGAATAGAATGTACAAAAGCAATTAGACAGTAACGGCCATATAATAAATTATCAACGTTAAATTTGGATAAAATTAATTAGTTAATAGAAATAAATAAATGCACTTCTATACTTTTATAGGGTCTCGATTTAAAATAACCGAAATGTTTCATAATGAAGATATTACCCATAATTATAATTTAAAATAGTCATGTTTGATCCCATAAAACCCAGTTACTCACAATGGCCATTAAAACTAATAATACAACCACCTTTAATTATTTTTTTATTATTTATAATTTGCATCTGTTCTTATTACGGTTTATTTTGAAAAAAACACGTAACCACTTTAAAGTATTGTATATCCCTTTTATGCTACTAAACTCTCATTTACCGAATTGCTCGCTTTAGCATTAAAATTGAATTTTCTTAATTTAAATATCTGAATCGTTATTCAGATTGAAATGTCTTCTAAAGATGAAGATAAAGAAAGAAGAAGTGAAGATGCTGTGAGCAGAGACAAGCGATAATTATTTCTTGTCTCTGGTTGATTTTTAGGTCAATATTTACTAAAATGGTAAAAATTATGATTCGGTTCCATTCGAGTGAAGTTTTTACAGCTTGAAAACTCTACACTGTGATCATTTCAAGTTATTACCTGCTCCAAATTATAACTTAGAAGTTTTTAGGCACAGTTTCAACTGGCTAAGCCTTCTCTTCTATAATGCAACTATTCTGTGGCTTTGGTAAATGCAGATTGTCAATGTCTCTTATCGCAAGTAAAAAATAGCGAACAAAATTGTCGACCGTGTGCCCTTTGAAACCCCCCAAAAATCTTAAAAATGAGCTCCTTAAACGAAAATGACGATGCGAATTCCCAAAACAATTCATATGGCTCAGCAGGCGGTGGATTAACCGGTAAATAGCTAATATTAGTGTGATACCTAACCTTATATAACATTGCAGGACAGTTTAAGCCGTTTGCCTCGCCATACTTAAACTTCGATCCTGGCTACATTCCTCAAGCTCAGCCTGAGTTTATATTTCTGGATGGTGGCAGCAAGCAAAGGGGCCGATTTGAGCTGGCCTTCGGACAAATTGGAGGCTCGTGCATGATTGGGGCTGGATTAGGAGGGGTTTCTGGATTCTACAATGGTCTTAAAGCTGCTACTTTGGCCGGGCAAACTGGAAAATTGAGGAGAACACAGTAAGATCAAGGGCTGTGGATTATATCGAGAATGTACTATGAAATAATTGTAGATTATTAAATCACGTTATGAAGAATGGGAGTGCGACAGCAAACACATTTGGATCAGTAGCGGTCATTTACTCAGCTTTTGGGGTGTTTTTATCATGGGCAAGGGGTACAGACGATGATCTAAATACTATCACAGCTGCAACAGCAACTGGCCTACTATACAAAAGCACAGGTAAGCAGACAAGGAAAAATAACCAAGTTACTGATACTGAATAAATCGGCATTTCAGCTGGACTGAAAAGATGTGGAATGGGTGGCGCAATCGGACTAGGAGCCTCAGTACTTTACGCCCTTTGGAACAACAAAGACAGATTATCAGATCTGGGACATTACAATCCAGCGTAAGAAAACAATTTTAATTGTGGTTTTAACATGTTTTAGACGACTAAAATAAATTTTATACTCTACTGTAAATAAGTATGCCTGAAAAGCATAATTACACTATTTAAAATGTGAAGGCAAGGGTAGGTTGCAGAAAGCAAAGTGTTACTGTCTTGCTTATGCAGCCTCAGAGATGTTAAGAGTTGTGGGATTTTGTCAGACTTTGTTATTTGGCAACCAAACTCAGATAATTTGCCCCTGTGCTGTGATCTGTTAAATAGATACTAATTCAAGAGTAACGTTGTTTTATTACAGATCGAATAACGTTTGCAATTTTATTTAATAGTGCGGATTTAACTGCACAGCAAATAACCCGTTCTGTTCCGTTACTTTCATATTGATTCGATTTTTTTTTATGTTAACAGGCAAAGGTAAAAGCGGTCGAAGACATGAATAGCCGAAGGTACCTACCGAGTTCCAAATGTACATACACATTTTTATGTTGCCTGATTAATTGTATCACGTATTAAATAAATTATTTTTCATTCAGATATGTTAAATATCCTTACCAGGGCCCTAAATTATTTCAGTTTGTTGATAAAAAAACAATAGTTTTACTCCAAAAATTATTAAAATCTGATGTAAAGTTAGAACAGCCCGGTGTAGCGTCAATGACGTCACACTAATAAACAAAGATGGCGCATAGTAATGCCAGTCATTTGATTTGCACATGGGAAATGTAGTGTTACCGACAGAGCCCTTTTCGTTTGATGCTACCGACTGGGAACAGTTTACCGATTGAAATTCAAATCATCCAAAAATTGAACTTTTCGCGGTCTCCATCTATTCGAGTTTTTGATCCGGCTTTTGTGCTTTTTACGCGAATTTTAGCTGCTTTTTACCAATTCCAGTCGTTGGCTTAAAATATCTCATGTTGGTGAGCCAAAATGGAATCAAATGGAAACAATGAGGGAGATTTCGGTGAAATTGTCTTAGATGGAATGGAAGTTGGCGAAACCCACTATGTTTATCATGATCCTGAAATTAATTTAGAGAACCATCCTCAGTACAATATAGTGAATGTAAGAAACATGTTTGCCTCAGCCGCAGATGAGCCTATTGATGAGGAATATAATGAGTACACTTACAGTTGATGATTGAAGATGAAACAAGGGCTGTGATAGTGAATGGGGCTGTCGTGACTGCAGATGGACAACCTCTGATTTTGCACAATGAGGAAGATTTAAGTCAATATTCCATTGACGATGCCACAGGTATTAAAATCACATTAAAGTGTGGTGGATTAATCATCCAGTAATACCTGATCAAAATCAAGAAAATTGAGGAGAAAGGCGCAAGGCATTGCAATAAAATCATGGGTTAAGGACAACGCAAGGACCACAAGGGAGAAACATTCAAATTTAAAAAATATAACTACTTAACTCCCTGAAGTTCGACGTTAACACTTTGTTTAAGAATAAACATATATACCTACAGCATTCCTGCGCTATAGACACTTCCTTAAAATCTCTGTTACTCTATGTACTGTTTCTATAATATCAAAACTGCTGCACAACAGTTTCCGTCTGTTTTCTATATATACAAGTCTTGCTATTTAAAATGTTCACCTTGTCCACATTTAATAACAAACTTACTGCAACCCTTTAATGCCTTTTCAAAACATCCACGATGGTAATTTAAGGGTGCTCTTAAATTATGTAATTCGACAATAACGGGCGATTTCTGTAACTCACACAACAGACCCAATTCACCCATTCAACCCGTTTCCAGTGGGCAAGAAATTCAGCTATTATAATTAACTTTAGCGTAAAGCAACCAAAACAGTGATTCAATAGTTGCTAGTGTTATCAGATATTTTGAAATGCCAGTTTAATACCGATATCAGTTTCTTTCATTCAACTCATTAGATTACAACAATATTCTGTTATAGAAGAAGTCGTGATATCAGCGGAACAAGGAAACCAAATATTAGAACTGATAAATTCGCAAAACAACCAAAGCGACAATGAAAGTGTTGTTCACTTCGTTCAAAATGATAGTTCAATGAATCAAGATCCTGACCAACATGTAGTGTATATTCAAAACCCCAATAGCATTTTGCCCCTGCATCCTCAATATCAAATAGCAGAGCTTGATACTGTGGAATATAACGAAGCCATGCAATTGACGAAACTAGAAACTGATCAGATTTTGCAGGAAATTGATGGTTGCATTGACCTGGAGCACTTATTGATAGAGCAGGCGGACGTCCCTAGTACAGAAAATGGAAAGTACGTACCGTGAAATTATAAAACACAATTTTATGAAAAACTGTTTCAGTTGCCGATATGCATTTCTAAAGGATGGGCAGTTGCATGTCCAAGGTATAAATGGCTCGATAACTTCTTTTAGCATGGAGGAAAGTGCGGAGGAGAGAAACGCTCAAAGTACATTGGGTCAAAAGTCAAATTCCAACAGTGTCGATTCACTTGATGTTGGCTCCATTAAAGGTGAAATACTCGAAGCATGTATCAACATTATTACCCCAAACTATTTATAGGGCAAAGTATGAAAGCAGATCAGGCTTTTCCAGTGTCGCGAAAAACTGATAAATCTGTAACGCGAACAAGAAGTTATACCCAGACTAGTAGTCAAAGCGATGCCAACAAAACAAAAACCTCACCAAGCTTTTCGAATCTCAGAAAGCTCATCAACACAAAAATCACAATCGGACAAACCGCTGAAGGGAAAACTATTGTTGGAAAAATTATCAATGTGAAGAAAAAACCTGTGGATTTGGGAACTAAGAAAGAAAGGATGACCCCTTTAACCAACTGCAAAACTTACCCAACTGCAAAACAGAAAAACTCACAAATGTCTGGAATAACTAATGATTCATTAGAACATTCTAGGAAAGAGGTAATAAAATTGCACTGCTTCCTGTCTCAGACTGAAATAAATATATTGCAGGCAATAGATTCGGTTAATAGTAAGAAAAGGCCAGATAAAATAGCAACATCCAAATCAAATTCTACCTTAAAAGTTCCCAATCGTTTAACGTCTGCAACTAAACAAGGTAATCAATCATTCAGAATCGTTTAAATAAATCCTCAACACAAAACCCCATTTATTTAACTATTTCAGAGCAATTAGATCAAGACATAAATGTAGCCAATCCAGATTCAGGCATAAAAAATGTAAATGTGGAAACACAGGTACAGTTACTTAAAAATCCTTCTAAAATGCGCACTAATAGCAATCAAATACGTGCAACTACCCCACTGCCCAGTCGTGTATGTAGTACAATAGTAAAAGATTCCAAATCGCCACAAACCGACGATCAAACACACAAGGAAAATGGTCAAAGTGATAACACAGACGTTTCAGCGAAATCCAGTGAGCAATCAAAAATAATTGTTCAGAAAAAAATGATATCAAAAGACGACGAAAGTTTTAATTTCATTGCAAAGACTCTGTCTGGATTGATGAATTTGGAGAGCGTAGTCAAAAAATTAGAGAACAAAACGATTATAGTTAAGGTGGGCCGCTAATTACAAAAAAGGAACTGTTATTTTATGCTTGTAGTTTGTGACTTTTCTTTAGATCATGCAAAAAGTCTATGACCATGACTCTTGCAAATACTCGAAATCGATATCCTACTGCAGCGGTTGTATGGTTAGAGAATTTACAGTGAACGAGACACAAGACAGCTTTTCGGAATCATGGAATTTTATTTCGGACAGTAACTCAAAAGAGACAATTTTAAATGAATATAGCTTGGAGACTACTTTGAAAAACGCCACTAAGATGAAAAAGTAAGATAATTTCCCCTATATTTGCAACGGCTACATTTCAACCACACACATGCAGAAAATGATACCAGATTTACTTAAAACCGTCATATTTTTGCACGAAAAAACAATTTAATAATCACAATTTCAGGTTTGCAAATATAACTATTCAAATAACCACCAATCTAGAAGGGCAACAAACAACAAAAGTGATTCTAAACCCACCCGCATTGTTGCAATGTAAAGGCTGTACTAAAGCATTTAGAACCAGCGCCCTATTGAAAATGCATTCTTTGAGTTGTCCACCAGCCCTTCAGTGAGTACATAGAATATACAGGATGCTACATGAGTTTATGGACATACATATTTCAAAATGTTGTACGTTAAATTTTAAACATAAAACTTTACATAAACATAGGTCCGGAAAGGTGCAGTTGAGAGCATCTAGGACGATTAAACTTAATTTTTATTTAAAAAATCGAACTCTTAATTTGTTTAAGCACTTATAGAAAAAGCGCCGTTCTCGAAGAATAGCAACAATCTAAAATTGCATCTTAGATAGCGATGAATCGTGCGACAAGCATTTAAGGGATGTTTATTTTAATAAAATTGATCGAGATTAAAAAAAGAAATAACTGAGTTAAAAATACATTTTTTTCGTGCCACCCATATCGACTCGCTGTTGTTGAAAAAATACAATTATTTGTTTTGCAATAACATATTTCGGTAATTAACTGATTTTCTTGAGCCAAAAAAAATAGTTTTATTTTTTGCCACCTATCTATTGACCGATAAACAAACAGATAAGCATCATTTAGTAATTCCCATCACGGTCACTAATAAACCGCAACATTAACTTTTATCGTCTTGTATCATAAACGAAGCCTTTCAGGACCGACGTTTATAGGAACGTTTGTGCTTACAATCTAATACAGAATAACAGATTGAAGAATGTGCAACTCTTAAAAGAAGAAAAAAATTCAATTCGCAAATATTTTTTGCAGACCAGAAAACGTTAGTGATCCAGTTGAAATGAAATCTGTAGAGGCTCCTAAAGATGTTTTGGAAAACAAATCAATGCATGGTTGCGTGGAGTGCAATCAGAGTTTTACAACATCACAACAATTGCAAAATCATATGGACATGCATTATAAGATGAACATGTGCCCCATATGTAAACTAAAGTGAGTTGACTAGAATTAGAGGCAATGAATAACCAATAGAATTTTAGATTGTCGAGTGTGGCAGAAAGAAATACGCACTTGATGACGCATTCGGATTCCGAGATGCCACAGGCATTGGAATCATCAATGGAAGATGAGAAAGGGGATAATAATCAACCATCTAATAATAAGAAAGGATATACTTGCCACATTTGCAAGAAGCAATTTTCTAGACATTCGAATATGCAAAGGCACGTTGAAATTCACAAAGAGGAAGGCGCTATATATCAGTGAGTCGTGTTAAGCACTGTTTCTCAAGTAAACAAGCTATATAGCAATATTTTAGGTGTGCGATATGCAGCTGCTGTTACCACTACATATCATCACTCACTAGACATGTACTGTCGACTCATGTAGATCCAGAAACAAATGTTCTAGAAAACGGTCCGTCGAATGAAACTGAGTCTAACGATAACAACAGTCAAGATGATCAACAAGAGGCAATTTTCCAGGATGAAGAAATTGAACAGATAGTTGATTTGGATGAGATGGACGAAGGATACTTGCAGCAGTATGTAGTAGACAATTTTGAATTAGAAAATTTGAAGGAAGATGAAATACAAAATATGGAAATCCAGTAAATGAAAGCCAAACGAAATCCATTTTAAGTTAAGTGTCGTCATTACGTATATCACAACTAATAATATACGGGAGATTATAGTCACACTGATAGTTATTGATTCTAGTGATTTAAGGAAAGTAAAATGTGACTGGATAACTTGGAAATTGAAATAAATTTAATTAATCACTGAAGTGCTTGTTAATCAACAATAATCCAACCAAAAATGAAGAACAGTTTGACTACTTCCTTTTAACTATTTACAAACGGGGTTTCAAGCCGCTTTGTCTATTTGCATAAACAAAATTACTTTTTTGGAGGTGGCACCCAGGGTTGCACTGTTGATTGAGTAGTCGAATAAGGCATATATTGCCTAGGAGTACCAGTTAGATTTGGAGTGTGCTCCAGCATCCACTTATACTTAGGCCTACTAGGGTCTTGCGATGGCAATAAATCGGTTTTGTAATGCAACCACCCAAACCATTCAACGGGTACTTGGCTGCCATCATAATCCATGCCTTAAATAGCCTTTTAAATATCCAATTGTCCTAACAATCAATTAGCGCTTACCATATTGAGGGGCATATTCTACCCAGCGATTTCTACCATAAAAGTAATAATTATTTTCAAAGTACTTATTCCCAAATTTATCAACGCCAACGACTACTCCAGGCCTTAGGGAATCCATTCTGGAAGTAGAATTGTTTTTGTATAGTGCCCCAGCAGCTGCATATTGCATAACAGAAATTTACCTAAATATTTTCAAAAACGACTGCCTAATGCCGCCGTACTGCTTTATCGTTCGCAAAAGGGTAAAAACTCGATCAACACCGAAGTAACTCATCTTGTACCCCTTTCTGCAATTATTTTATTATTATTTTTTGACTGCAATAACTAACCTTAAAACTCAAGACAAGGATGTACAGTGTTGCGGTGAATATAATGCGTTGCGTCGCCGCTATGGAAAGCATCAATGTAATGACATCACAAGGTAGAAAAAATAAGCAAGAATCATATCGATAGAAATTTAGTATTGAAAAAAGAACAAAATCAGAATCGTATTAAAAGGACAACAAAAAATAAAGCATGAGATCAGCTACAAAGAGCACAAAAACCACTCCGAATTCTGAACTTTACCAGCTTAAAAACGTGGATCTCTAAATTGATGTTTCCAGTCTTCAAACGCTGCTCTTTTATCGTATTTACAAATTCAAAGCTTTCAAATTAAAACAAGTAGCTTTTAATCAGCTTCAGAAGCCACGATTCACTCTAAATATGCTAAGTTTCATAGAACTAGCTCTGGAAATAGCCCTGAATCCTCAGTTTTGCCGGTTTGATCCATCTCAAAATTGATGATTCCCGCTTTCAAAATCACATCTTTCCAACTAAAACAAGGAGAAACTGGAAAGCTTCGCAAACTTTATAAGACCATTCATTCTAAATATGCTGAGAGTTTTATAAAAACTTGGTCACAGGTCTGGTTTTTTCAGTAGAAATTGGGATATTGCTAGGTAATTTTCCAGGTAAAATAAATAAATCGACAAAAAGGATTCACGCTTTAACTTCCGTGAAATAGTCCAAAGCAGTTCTACCAAATCGGTCTTTAAGTGCCAAATCAGCGCCCATATTTTTCAAATAACAGAAAACCTTTTCGTTTCGCTTTCTGGCTGCACAATGTAGGGCACTCCAACCATTACTATTCTGGCAGTTAATTTCAAAGCTCAATTCTCTCAGTACATAGTCCATAACTTCACAATTGTTTTGGCTGGCTGCTAAATGTAAAACACTAAAATTGCAAATTTAAAATGGATGAAATTCTGACGTGGATAGTTGCTACCTGAAGTCGCTGTTATTTCGGCAATCAGTGCTCGCGCCTCTTGAAACCAAATGCTTGGCTACATGAACATGTTGTCCTAGTAAACCCTCATGTAATGCAGTATTCCCACAACTATCTTTTGAGTTTATATCCAAGTGCTCTAGAACCATATCTAGGATTTCAATATTTCCATGCAATGCTGCTATGTGCAAAGCAGTCCTTCCATTTTTGGTTTTTGGGCAAACCTACAGCAAGTAATGCCAACGCACGCATTTACTTTACAATCCCCAACAGTATTTATCTCACATACATTTAAGCCTTGATTAATTAAATAATGGAGAACATCCACTCCGCCTTCTCTAGCCAAAATGTGAACACACGTCCACCCATCTTTGTTGGGCATATTTATATACGCCCCTTTCTCAACGAGGAGTTTAACGATTTTCAAGTTAATAACTGGTTGTATTTTGGTGCAAGCCAACATTAGCGGTGTCCAATCGCCCCTCCTCAATGCATTTACCTCAGCGCCATAAGACAACAGTTTTACTACACTTTCCCACTGTCCAAACTGTGCAGCTTCATGCAAAGGGGTTTTGTCGTTCTGATTTCTTACATCTACCGTTTGAGGGGCATATTCTTCAAGCAGATAGTCGATTACTGTTAAATGCCCCAGCCTGGCAGCGACATGCAAAGCTGTATCCCCAGTTTTCTCGTAGATTACTGAACTCCAGTGGAAATGGGGGTCTTTCACTTTTAGGGCTTGCAGACTGGAAAAATCGCAATGCTGGATGTCTGTGAGTATTTTTTTACTCGGCTTTTTGCTCAATGTTTCGATAGGCATTTTTGCTTATGGATTATGATGTAGTTTATCTTTTTTTCAAAAATTTAATAAGTAATATGTATTAATTGGACATCACCGACACTGACAACTGTTTGCAAACAAATCACATTAAATCAATAAAGGTTAACACAGAGACAAGACCACTCTTTTTTTAGAGGATTTATAAACAAAAGTTACAGGTACAGTACACCCCGGTAGAAGTTTTTATGAGCGATTATGCAGTCGTTCCTTTCGTCATGCGGAAGAGCCTGTCAGTCTTTCCTTGTCTCGGCTCACTTTAAGAATACAATTGTTTATTAACACGCTCCTTATCAGAGACAAGTACTTGTCTCTGTCCTTATCTATGATCTGTGTACATATAACATTGAGGTTGGGTTTCAATGACTTTAGATTCTATCACGCTTGTAGTTTCTGGTTATTTATTTCCTGCTCAATTTGGATTTGATTAATTAAAAGCTAAAAACAATGTCCAGAAGAGATAGAATACCTCGTCCTGAACGACCGAACAATCCGTTTCCAGCCTACCGTCATGTTGGGGTGAGTGAAAAGTAACAAAGGAATTGTTTCGATAAATTTTAATAATAGTTCCATAAATACAATTAAGATAAACCTACACTGTACTGGCGCCCGAATGCTTCGTGACAAAAAGACTTGCAACTAACAGTTAAAAAAGTCCTGAGCTATTCGTTAGGATTTTTAATAAACCCATAACCTTGGCAGGTTTTCAATGTGTGCTCAATAACCTCGATGATTTTCTGTCTGCTACCATCCTCGTCAGGGACTAGTTTCAACGCCATTAATATTTCAAGTACATTGCTTTCCATCAGCTTACTGGCCAATTCCTTACTTGCATTGACGATGTTAGCCACAATACACACTCCCCTGTATTGGAAACTTGGCGTTTTGTTCGCCAGTAAGCACTGGATGGCTTCGAGCCAATTTTTTGAATCAAACACCTTCTGGCAGCACTTCTCGCTGTAGCCTGTGAGGACTGCCAGCATCCCACTGGCCGCCATGGCTGTATCTTGGTCTTCATCCAAACAACAGGACACCACAAATTTAACTCTGTCATTTTCCGACTCATAAAAGGTCTTTACGACATCTTCACTCTGAACCAAATTGCACATGCACTGCACAGCAGCCCTTGAAATGTATTCATGATCTTCATACATGTAGTGTTCTATTTTGTAGAAGCCACCTTCTTTCACTATCCTTTGCCGGGCAGTTTCACCCATCTGGGCAATATTACAGAGCGCCATTAGAGCCTCAAAGTTTTCTAGGCCTGTACAGTCTTGATGCAGTAAGGAAATCATCGGCCTAATGCATTCTAAAGACCTCTGGCCTGTAAAGGCTACTTCTGGATTCATGGTGATGCCGATTCTAGCAAGTGCTTGAGATGCTTGACGTTTGCCCTAGAAAAATTAACATTAATCCAGTTCAGTGGAGCAACTGGAAAAAATTACCTTATCAGTTCCATTTAAAGCCAACTGAATTAACACCTTTACACCCCCTTGCTGCACTATAACTCCTCTTAAATCATGCTCTGAAGCCAAAGCATTAAAAACCCTCGAGATCAATTCCCTGGAATTGGGACTTTCAGTTTTGGACAGCGCTACAAGAGCAGTAGTAACATTTTCCTGGCCTAAGGCTATCAGTCTCTTAGTGATGAAGTCCGGGTCGTCAAGCTCATGCTCTTCCGGTATGTGTTGTTTGGCAAACTTTGCCAATTCCACCATTTCGGGTATAACTTCTTGTTTTTCATATGCATTGCAAAGATTGACTAAAGTGGTGACAACACCGTAAACCACACTTTGATCGCCACTTTTAGCCAACTCTACCAGAGCTCTCAATGCAGCTTTGTCCTCTATGAGTTTCTCCTTCACTTCTGCGTCTAATGTTAAATATGAAAGTCCTTCGGCAGCCCATTTTCGAATATCTTTGTCTTTTCCTGGATGAAGTAGGAATCTTCGACAAGCTTCGGCCAGTTTCACCGTTGATCCTTCGGCGAATGGTTTCACTGTTGCATCATTTCCACCTGAACTACCTGGTAATTGCAAACACTAATTGATAAGGATTGGCCAAGTTGGAATATTTCATGTAACTTTACCTAATTTGCACAGTCCGACTAGAGCCCGGATTTTGATATGGTCGTTTTTAGACTTGTACAGTTTTTTCAATATATCAGCACCTTGTGAGACTATACTTTTAGCCTTATCTGCTTTGCTGGCGGCTGCTATTAAACATTCACACGCGACCTGTAACCCAATCAGATCAACTATTGTTTCCAAGAGCATGGATTGTTTTCATTTTAGTCTTACTTTTTGCTGCAGTTCATCATCTTCAGTATTTGCCATAACGAGAATCATTTCCAAGATGCCCTCTTTTCCAATTATCGAATTTCCTAAGTCCAAAGGACCCCTGAGAAGTTCGGTAATGGCAACAACTACTCTCACTTTGCTCTCAATGTCGGGCGTTAATAATTTGTCTTTGATGAATTCTTGGATTTTGTTTAGGAAATTGTCTCTAGCTTTGTCATAGTACATGTTTTCATAAACTCTGGCTAAACAAACGGCGGCAATCGTCCTAGGAAGTTTCATTTGATTGTAGCTTGATTTATTTATTTATTTGTTAGAATAGTTACCTGGTAGATGCTGTGATATTCATGGCACTTTCGTAATGATACTCTTCCAATTCACTGGCACAATCCAACAGTTTTCTAACTCCTCCTTTTTCCACCAGTTGCTCAGCCCAGCTCAGAGTGTTGTAATGAATATTTCTGATTAGTAGTTCAATAATTGCATCCCGTGCGAGCCCCGTTATAGCCTGATTATTAATTGATACAGTCAGGCAAGTGAGCAACGTGTCAATGGTAGATTTATTTTTATCTACTAGTTCCTGCTTGGGCTTTGTATCTGTCTTATTTTCCATGCCAGATAAAGTATTGAGAATGCACTGTAAACAATACTGGGCAGCATTCACAACTTCCTTATTCTCCGAATCGATTATCTCCAAAAACCATGGAATCCCAACGTCTTTTAATATTGTTTTCGTTTTTTCTTCAGAATGTTTACATAGTTCGCCAATTATTCTAATTCCAGTCAGATACAGGACTTGATTTTTTTCCATTTTAAGAAGATTTTTTATTTTTTGCACTATGGGGCTCTTATTGACCATCAGATCGCTACCGGCGTTCTCTTTCGCCAGTACCAGTAAATTTGTCATGGCAGTTTCTCGTTTTTCTTTGTCATTACTCGGGTCAAACACTATCTTTAACATGCTTTCCAATTTATTGTTTGTCTGCGAATTTATTCTTGCTCTTTCCTCAACGATTCGATGAAGACGCTGCAAATAGGGTTGGACAGCTTTATTGGTGGGATCATCTTTGAATATTTGGGTTGCATCTCTATATGCCTCTTCAAACCTAAGAAAGGAAGTCTTTGTGAGTTTTGAGTCAGTCGGGGATGGCATGAAAATTCGCGAGACTAATAGAGCTCCAGATTTCGGGAGGATTCCAGTTACATTTAAATGTATGTATTTAATAAGCAATAGCCGCAAAAATAACTCCCTTCATAGATCCTTGGTTCTATTCGCCAAACGCTCTAACAAATGCTAAATATCAAAGACTTGTAGACAAATAAGGCGGCTACTAAGAGCTAGGTGTTACCTCTCAAGAGATTCCAAGGCTTGACATCTCCGAAATAGTGCTTTAGGGTCATTTGGACAGATTTCAAGGCTTCTGTCGCAGTCCTTAACGGCATTTTCGAAGTTCTCCTGTTTCACATAGGCCGCCGAACGATTTTTGTAGTAGATAGCCAATTCTTTGGGTTCACCTTTCACACTATTGATTGCCTTGGTGTAATGTTTCACCGCTTCGTCCCATTGATTGTTTTTAAAAGCTTCGTTCCCTTGCTCTTTATATTTTTCACACTCTGTTATATCCATATTTCAAAGCTATTACAGAAAATTTCGCAAAAATAGATGCAGTTGTATAGGTTAGGTCGTTATTCACTTGTGCTACTTTTAAGGTTTCTGGCACGTGGACCAGTAGGAACGATTTATATATACGGCTTCCCATAAGAATTTTCTTCACTTTTCTCGAAGTACTCAAATCTAATAATACAATTCTAAATTTAGCGGAAAAGTCCAGATTGTATGGTTTCGTTTAACATTTGGGTGTTGTCCTGTCAAACTTGTAAACAACAGCGAAGTTAGTTGATTACCAGTCAAAAGATCTAAAAATGGAAAGGAGTAGACATTGCTTGTCAACAATGACAACAATCATATGTTCGTGAACCAACAAATACAACTAAGCTCATTTAAAAGTAATATTTGATTAAATAGCTATTCCAATTTTGAATGATTTGTACTTTGTTGTACTCTTTTCCACGTTGTCCCTCCCCAAAATTCACAAAATGGTATGTACAATACTTTACAATTCTAGTTCTTTGATTAGTTTATTTGACAAACATTTAATGTTTGACTTTAAACCCAAAATGTAAAGAATTAACCAGGATTTTAATTAGTTTCAGTTTGGATTTAACATGTTTCCTGAAATCCCAAGGCCCTTCGATGCCACCTACCAGTGCTTTTCAGTTGCCATGCTACCAGGCAACGAGAGGCAGGATGTTGAAAGAGGAGGCAAGAGTATGTACATGTTTATCTATTATTATGCAGTTTCCAGTAATAAGTCTTAATTATCGCAGTTATAATGCCGCCAAGTGCTCTGGAAAAGCTGACAAGACTCAACATCAATTATCCAATGTTGTTCAAGCTTACCAACAAAAAGAGTAAGAGGGAAACACATAGTGGTGTTCTGGAGTTTGTTGCTGACGAAGGAAAAATCTACTTACCATTGTGGGTAAGTTATAAGCAGCAACGTAAATGTATTGCTTTCGCGAAAGTCTATTAATAGAATTGAAAATATTTGTTACTCGCAGACACCTGAAAATACTCTCTATCGAACTTGCCCTGTCTCATGTTTTTAGCCCCAATTTGAGTGTTGTTTATTTAAAAATATCTGTTTCTGTAGATGATGCACAATATGAATTTGGACGAAGGAGACTTAGTGCAAATCGAGAGTGTTTCTCTTCCAGTGGGCACATTTTCAAGATTTCAGCCCTTATCCTCCGACTTCCTTGATATCACCAACCCCACAGCTGTATTGGAAAATTGCCTGAGATCTTTTGCGTGTTTGACCAAAGGTAAGCGACCCTTTTATGCCAAATATTCCTAACTTATGACTCGAAACCATTTGTTCAGGGGACATAATCGCTGTACAATACAACCAAAAGGTCTATGAGCTGTTGGTGTTAGAAACAAAACCCGGAGACGCAATTAGTATTATAGAATGTGATATGAATGTGGAGTTTGCTGCGCCTGTTGGCTATCAAGGTGGGTCAATTTTTATTATTTCTTCAGTAAATTTGTTATGCATGTTATTTTCAATAGAACCTGAGGTTCCTAAGAAGCGAGATGAAGAAATGGTCCTCGATCCTTCTGATCTAATGCCTGAACCGTCTGGGTTTGTTGCATTTAAAGGAGCTGGCAATCGACTCGATGGAAAAAAGCGCAAAGATTCATCATCTGCTGGTAAGAAACGTCGAGAAACTAGCATTACCGTAGGTATTATCCACAAATCTTGCAGATCAAGGAGCTTCTAAGCCAGTTTATGTGCGAGGAATACCAGATTATGACTACCAAATTGGCACGCTACGATTCATAAGGCAAACGGCGAAGCCCAAAAATAACGAAAACCCGGAAAATGACGAATTCAAACCATTTAGCGGAACAGGATTTAGTCTACGCGCTCGAACTTAGGTGACATGATTCGATAATGTTTCTGCTGTTTTTTCCCTATATTTGTTTTTATTTATGTATTAGCGAAAAAATAAACTGGCTTTGCGAAGTCTAAACACGTTGGTTTCTTAAGTCATTTGTTGAAACCTTTCTAGGTTTATTTTTTAAACATTTGTATGATTTTTTAATTAATACTAAGATACAGGCCTTGGAACAACGTTGCCAAGGCTTGTCAGTGTTTGCCATTTTCTCGTTTGTTTACAATGTTAAAATACTTGCCAAAAGCCACAAGTATTTCAATAATTTTTATAGCGAGCGCGTTTTTCCTGTCAAGTTTCGAACTGTGAAAAGTAATAAACCCACAACATGACATAACCTTAGTAAAAAATAGGCCTTCTTGATTGGTTTTTATATAATGTTTTCTTAAAATTTGACTTTAAAAACGTCATTAAATTTTAGACAAATTTTCCAAAAATTCTGTTAAAATGTCCATCTTACTAACTAAAGGTAAAACTTTACCAAAATTGGCTAAATCCCTAGCGCAAAATCAAGGCAAACAGTTGTACCCCATTGTTGTATTCCGCACTTACTACACAGTGAAGCGAAAAATCGAACGCGATGAAAATTTCCTGTCAAAGCATCTGTATAATAAAATCAAAGCCAAGGGCCCCATTACTGTAGCTGACTACATGAGAGACGTTCTCCAAAATCCAAGCAAAGGCTACTACATGTGCAAAGACATGTTTGGAGAAATGGGCGATTTTATCACGTCTCCTGAAATTTCTCAGGTAAAATAACAATGTTCAAAAAATATATATTATATAATACATCAACTAGCTCTCCCAAGTCATTACAGTACAAGAAAATCAATTGATTCATTGCAGATTTTCGGAGAAATGTTAGCAGTGTGGTTCTTAAACGAGTGGAATAAAATAGGCTGCCCAAAACCAGTACAAATAGTAGAATTAGGGCCGGGTAGGGGCACTTTGAGTTCAGATATTTTGAAAGTCTTTAGTCACTTTAAGGTACGCAGTGTCTCAATCGAAAGTTTAGCGGCTTAAAAAGATAAACTTTTGTAGGCGCTACATAAAGCTAGTCTTCATTTGGTAGAAATTAGTCCCGTGCTGAGTGATGTGCAGAGTAAAACCCTGTGTGTTCATAGCAACTTGACCAAGGACCCTAAAAGCTTTCACTATAGGGCAGGTTGGTGGAGAGTATATTTTTCTTAATTGTTCCAAAAAAAGAAGCGTGACCTTACGGTATATGTGATAATGAGGTGTTCCTGCAGACAAATTGTGATATTAGCATCAGGCGTAGATATTCCGGATTCATTCATTTGAATTGCATTCCCGAGAATCCCGGGCGAAAAGTAAATTTCGAATCTGTCCTGCTTAATGGAGAAGTTGGCGGACGCGCAAACTTTTTGAAACAAAATTCCATTATTTTATGTACATAGAAATTCAAAACCGGAATAGGACTTAACTATTTTGAGAGGTCTGAAAGTTAGAGAACGGTACATCTTTGAAGCGGTTTAAAATAGTGGATCGACCTTTTAACGCATTCGCTTTAGAACTGCACAAACGTGTCCGATTTGAGCCTCGACATTTATTTCTGGTGCTAAAGTGAATTCCAGAGAGTACAGTAGTAGTTTGTAGGAATTTTTGTATGCAACATAAAAGTTAATGAATGATTAAACCACATGCAAATATATGTAAAACGGTAAGACGACGAAAAAGTTGCATGTCTACTTAACTACTCGATGTAAAAAATATCGAAATTTAATTAATGTCAGTGGCACACATTTTTGGGTCATTAAATTTGGTTAGCGGTCCTTTCCCTGATAGCAGTCGACTAAAACATTAATCTAAATTGCTCAACGAAATGAACATTAAACTAACAAATTTGGAACTGGATAAATTCTGATTGCTTCAAACAATTCTATTTATGCTTGAAGAGTTATTATAGCCACAGATGGCATGATATTTAGTGAAAATCCTTTTCGGTTAGTGCGTTTTTTTTTTCAAAAAATAAGTGCCTCAGATAAATTTTCTATAGGGTGCCGAATAAAACAATGCAAAATTGGTGAAAGTTCTACATGCTCTTAGTTGGACAAAAAAAAGTTGTTTCATATTTTAACACCACACGCATTTAAAACCTCATATCTTAAAAAAAGTTTTTGCATTTTTCGCTCACCTTGTTTATTTACAGTAGTCTTTAAAAAAAATCAACTTTTTGGTATTGCAGTGATATTTCATCCTTTTCAACCGATTAGCAAAAACGAATGCACATGTTGAAGCAAATACTTCGCAGTCAACTTCAGAAAAAAATTAAATATACAGGGTTGCATGAGTAAACGAAATGTTTGAAAGTAAAAGTTGATATTTGAAAAAAAAATTAGTTGAAAATCTTTCAGCCTAGAGCTACAGATTTCGGGGAAATTCCGATGTGAGTAATTCTATATGCAACCATATATCCAATTTTCGTCGTAAATCGTCTGTGAAGTTCAAGCTTCAACGTCGTGAAATTGGGACCAATAGCAGAAAGGATACCACCCTTTAAACAAAAGAGATGTCCGAAAATTTCAAAAACCGTTTTCACCTAATCTTTAAACCTCATTTTTGTCCAACTAGAGGCATGCCAAACTGCGAAATTTTGTTATTTACCGCCCTGTAGAAAATTTATCTGAGGTGTTTAATTTTAACCAAAACAGTGGCGAACAAGAAACTAATGGGGCGAGGTAACGCTTCAAAGAGAAACCAAATAGCTTGAAGCAATCAGAATTTATTCACCGCGAGGACAAATTTGGCTGTGTAACGTTCATTTTGTTGAGTAGTTTTTTTTTTCGGAGCTGTGTTTATAGCCTTTTTTTCACAAAATTACTTGATAAGTCACTCCCAAGCGCATTTCTTGACGAGTCGTTCGTTGATAAAGCGTTTTCCGATACCACCTTTTAAGACGTTGAATGGAAAGTTTGATTTCCGTTTTAACGGAAAATTTGAAGGGCAAAATCGCGGCATCGGTCCAAGAAACCGGAAATTAGTTCATTCTGAGCAAACAATTTCGACCGCGGTTTCTATACGTTTTTATCAATAATCGGTTAGTATAGTTGGCCTACTAATTTGCTCTAAAACTTCGGAATATTACAATTACAATAAACTAATTCAGATGAAGCTTTTTAGACTGAATTAGATCACAACTAATAGAAAAATTGCTGTTTTTTCACTTTTGTTGACAAATTAGGAACGTCCCATCATGGAATTCCCGTCTATTGGCATCAGCAGTTAAGAGACGTTCCCGAGGGATTCACGCTTCTGTTAGCTCACGAATTTTTCGACGCACTCCCTATTCATAAATTCCACAAAACCTATGCCGGCTACAAAGAGGTGTTAATTGATTTGGAAAGCACCAAAGCCAACGAGGAAATTCGATTTAGGTACTAAATGCTCGCGTTTATTTTCAGTGGATCTTTTCCTAAATATTACAATTTCAGATATGTTCTTGCGCGTCAGGATACTCCAATGCTGAAAGTACTTTTGAAGCCAACAGAAACCAGGGATCATGTAGAAATATCCCCAGATGGCATGGTAATATACGAGCAAATATGCAAACGGTTAATATCGAATGGTGGAATAGCGCTGATCTGCGATTATGGACACAATGGTGCAGGCACAGACACTTTTAGGTCAGTGTTACTCATTATTTATACTGGTTAATTCTTACCTGGGACGTGTTGGTTGTAGAGCATTTAAAAAACACAAACAGGTTGATCCGTTACTGCATCCAGGTACCGCCGATCTTACCGCGGATGTTGACTTTAACATCATTAAAGAGGTTCGTTTCAATAGCAAATTTCATATTGGCAAGCCATTTCCCTCATTGCCATTGCATTTTATAGGTCGCTAACAACAATGGAGATGTAATTTTTATGGGACCTACAAAACAGCGCAGTTTTTTACACAGAATCGGAATAGAATACCGGGTAAATGCGTTAACGGCAAATATGCAGGACAAGAAGCAAATAGACAATTTGAAACAATGTTACAACTTTTTAACTGACGAATCGAAAATGGGGGAACGGTTTAAGTTTTGTACGCTGCTCCCATCCACTCTAAAGAAAATCTTGGATAAGTACCCAGTCGTGGGTTTCACTTGAATACTAAACTGTATTTATTCTCGGTAACTACTTGCATCTGTGATACTTTTAATAAATTTCATTATGGCGAAATAATCGGCTGTTGTTTGTTGTAGTGAAAAACATTGTCTTAATCCTTTCCTTACATATAAAAAATAATTAAATTATAAATTAATTTGATTACTTGCTGCGAAAAAGCCAAAACATGACAGTGTACTTTCTCCAACACAAGTAGCAACAAAAAACGCTTAGCAAGCGGAGGATAATTAGTTTTTTTCTCAGACTTACCCTTTAAGTTGACTAATTAACTGTGAAAATAATTACAATTCTACTTGAAAAATACAGAAAATTTTCAGAGCCGAAAGGTACTGTCTCAAACCTGATATCTCTATCTAAAAAGGTGTGAACAAAACGTTCAAAAGATGTTAAAATAAAACAAGAAATTTAATACATTTATTGAGGCCTCAGGGCACTGTCGTTGTGATTCCAGGAAATGCGAAATATAGATCTTTCTGGTTCTATTGGAAGGCTAGGGCATCTACCCGTTAAATGTCCCAAACAATTACAACGGTTGCATCTGAAATGGAAACGAAATATTTCAATAAGTATACAGAGTTCTGGGTAAGATCATAGCTTTTGTTCCTATTTTAATTTTTTTGCCAGAATATTTTTAGAAGAAATTTACAAAATGTGCTTGCCAATTGCAGACGCTATTGTTATCTTTAAAATCATGTCTGCTTTATGTTTAAAACATTGTTTGTTGTATATCTAAATAACATCATTTATTAGAAAATAATTTATTTGAAATTATTTCTGCAAGTGACGCCACTTGCCTATCACTTTGTCGGGCTTTTATATTACAAAAACGGCAACCACGTTCTGTTCTTCAGTTTTAAAGTAAAGGAAAAGTGAAATTACATCACAGTTAAAAAAAATCCTAGTCCCAATGATAAGACATTCTAAAATCACGCTGTAGTTCATCTCTAGCGTCTACGGTGAAATGTATCAATTTGTGAATATAACGATATGAAATCCCATCAAAAACTTTTAGAAAAGTGATAGGTATGAATCATGAGATAATGTCTTGTTTTTCAATTTAGATAGTAAATTGTTTTTCAATTCGGCCAATTTCATTCATTAACTAAAGCTGTCCAATTTATTGACCGAATCGAAAAGAAATTTACTAATAATTGACTTACAATTATTTCGAGCCTCTGGCTCGAATCATTACAACAGTTCACAAAGCAGTTGCTGATGACTCTAGTTCATTGGCCCATCATAGGCCAATTTGTCGTAGTTTGGCAATCATTATCGTTATTACCATAAAATATGTGTGACACAGATCTCTAGTGCAGGACGCATCCATTGCACCATTGTTTTATCTTAAAACGTTAAGTTTACAATAAAAAAGTATAAAGAACCTCTTAAAACGCTCAACGTAAACTAGTCGCTAATTGCAAACCATCATTGCCCTGCATTCCAGAAATGCTTCTGTCGTAACTACATCTTTATTTAATATAGGGTGTTCCCTAAAAGTCAATCGGGCAATTCTTTGACCCAGCTTCAGAATACACATACATCAGAAAATCCAGCGTGATGTTTTGAATTTGTACAATTTTTTTTTAAATAGATAGATAGAAATAGCAAAAAATTTATTTCGACGTGAAAAAATTTGTTCCCCTGTACATCGAAAGTTTACGGCATTCCTTCATATGAAGTTTACCTGAAAATTTTAGTATGCCATTAAGGAACACCTTGTATCTGATACATGGCCAAATAATTGTAGAACAACTCAATAAAGACAGCAACTGACCGAAATATTCTAAAATGGAGAACGTTTGAGAACTAACTAAAAGATTGGCCTTGCCGCAATAAAAGTTACACATAAGAAATTAATGAACAGTGTTTGCCACTTATTGATGTTCACTTAAATTTTGATAATACAATATTAATGCTCATAAATATACAGTGTTCAATGTTATTATCTAATCCCACAGTCAACTAGAAATACATTACGATCCAAACTAGTTACTTCCAAATGACGCAAAATATTTTAAATTCAGAACAGTTTCAAATATGTATACATATTTACCTCAAAACTGACGGCTCATAACTCACTGGTGGTGGTGGTGGTGGTTCAGTACGAGAGTTACCTCTTCTCGGTCGTCCGATATTCCTATCAGAGCTTCGTCGGCTGACTCCACGACGACGGGCTACTGGTTTCTTTTCCGCTTTCTGTATTGCATCAATAGCTTCTTGCCTCTGCTTTCGATCTTCTGGAGAATCATTTTCCATAATCTAAAACCCATAGATTAACTTTGAAAAGGCCACAACATTTATCTTAAAAGTTACCTTGTCTACCAGATTATCCAACACCAATGTGCGCGTTACAGATTTGATAAAAGTTCGACATATTGGACAAGTAGATGATTTTGCCCGCCAGCGTTTAATGCAAAACGAGCAAAAACTGTGAGAACATGCAAGTGTGACGGGTTTAATGAATAATTCCGAACATATAGTGCACATCAGTTCAGTCTTCATACTTTCGAACTGTGAATGTTCTTTTCCTTGGGCAGGATTCTGTGCAGTTTCAGAAGTCGTTGAAAGTGTAGCGAGATCTGAAATGATTTTTGAAAATGTTGGTACTTTATTCCACCAAATCGTAGGTATATTACTTTACCTGCAGATCCATTCCCAGCCGATTTGTCACTGCTCTCTGCTATTAAAATGCACTCATCTTGAGACAAATCATTTGTTAAATCCACAATATAATCAACTCCTTCAGAAGAAGGCATTTTAGGTTGAAGAACTGGTCTCGATCTCGGTCGGGATTTATTCACTAGATTACTTTCTGACGTACGACGTCGCTTGAGACTTATATTTGAGGCAATATTCGAACCAAGATTTTTATCGGAGCTACTAGCGGATTGCACGTCAGCTGTAGCAGGACGTTGATCTGTAACAATCTCGCTTTTTCTCGTATTCGAATTTGAATCCGAGCTCAAACTATTTGAGGTCGAAGACTGATGAAGATTTATGGTAGTTAGATTAAGTGGGAGTAGCGTGCTTATAAGCGGTGTTTGCTTCAACATGAATTGTAATGACCATACTTCCAATCCCAGAAGAATAGTGTCAAGATGTTTTAAAACACCACTAGTACCTCTTCGATATAAAATACCATTGACCAATGTACCATTTGAACCCTGCACAACAAAATGTAAATTATTAACTATACTATTAGTAATTTTATAGTAATACTTACCAGATCTGTTAACACCCATCCGGTATTTGTTTTTTCTAATTTACAGTGTGTTCTGGATACAGTCACGCTTAGCAGCTGATAATCACAGTATGGCGCTCGTCCAATTGTGAACTGAAATTTAATGCAAATAATTGAAAAATAATGCAGGTTTTTTGCTAAAATTGAAATATTAAGAATAAAAACGACACTTTTCACCCYTGTATWGAAAACTACTATTTGYGTTTGAATGATCCACAGGCGGGTAAAAATATTTTTTGTACGAAAATCTACTACTTAATTACATTGTGTCAGCCAAATGAACCATCTTCAATTGAAGGGCTTGGTGCAAAAACCGGTCAGCTCCATTTTTACCTAAGGTCGACGTTATAAACAAACTTTAATGTATTTGGCACGCTGCATCGTTTGCAATAAAAAGCACACACTCCACTGAACGGTTTTTGAATCAAGCCCTTCAATTTGAATATTCAACATATAATTTTAATGTTTTCACTGAAAAGTTTACGGTTTTCGCGTAACCTCTGCAAATTTAGAAATAGGTCTTCTGCTTCATAAGGACGTAATAAGCTGCTTGCGGACATGTCTTAATTTCAATGAGTTAAAAGTGATCGAAAAACGCCTTAATAGAGTACAGTGACAAATCCAGGACCTTGATCTGGGGGGAGCTGAGATCATAAAAAAGTTACATCGTTGTATGGACGAATCGTAACCTCCACTTAAAGTATTTTTCAAATAGCATTTAATTTATAGTTATAGAATCATAAAATGTTTTACGATGAAATAGATGGTATTGTACTGGTCTGGTGGGGGCTGAAGCCCTACAGCACCCTCATGGATTCGCCACTGATAGAGAAGACACGGAGGCCTCGAGTAGACTTACCGGGCTTTTGGTAACTTCAATCACAACCTGGTCCTTCTGGTGGAACAAAACAGGATTTATCAAATCTGACATGATTCACTAATAAATTGATACACACTTCAGAGCACGTTGAGAGTCTGTTCTCATAGATAAAAACGAGTATCTGAACCTCTGACAGAGATAAGTACTTGTCTCTGATCTGAATACCTTCACAACAATAGCACAAACAATAGTATGTAGTCTGTGGTAAGTACAAAGACAAGTAGAGACAAGAAACTAGTCGTGAAAAAATGTCCCAAAAATAGGTTATTTTCGGACTCTTTCTTTGCTATGTTTCTTAAATAAGCTCTCTCTTTACTATTATGTGCTGCCGTCTTGTCAGAGGACGCGAGCTGTCCCAAAGGCTATGTTGCCGTTGTTATATTTAATGCCAAAATAATGATTTTCTTTCCTTATCTAATCCATTGCGCAAAAAACACACATAGTGTTGAGTTAATAATAACGACAACGCTGCTTGTTGCAATCGTTAACCTTACTTTGACGATTTTTGATTGCTCTCAATATAAATTTTATTGCATATTTACTCTTTTATATTTCAAAGAGTTTTGCGATCTGTGGTTTGATAGCGAATGCTTGATTTGTTTATTGTTGCTTGATTGTGGTTTAAGTTCTTAGTCTGCAGCTTGTTCTTAGTTTGTAGTGTTCTTAGTTGGTGGTGGGTTCTATACGATTTATTCCTCGCTTAATAACCAAAATGAAGTGCCTCATTTGTGGATTAGATGCAGATGATGTTCAAAAAATGCATCGTTTTCCATCTAATCTGGAAAAGTACGTACCTTCAGAAACATGTCTTCAAGACTTGTCTCTGGTACCTTCTTACTATAGTCTATAGTATTTGCTGTTATCCACTAAATGTATGGTTATTTTATGGGCTCTAATTCCATTGTTAATTTTGCTAAACTTGTCTCTGGTATGTAGTCTGTGCCATAGAACAAGGCTTATATGTGCTTCACAATAAGCCCAAAGCCAACCACAAAATATCCCCCCTATGGGGGTATTGTACGACAATGAATTCATTGTATGATACAATCAATTCATTGTATGAACAGTGCATTCATTCATTGTGCTACAATTAATTCATTATTTCGTTCGGCTCAACCCGATTTCTCAAATGACACTCTGGCAACACAGCACGCTAAAACGCTGACAATCAGAGATTTTGTAAAGAATTATTTACGGTATTTTTCTTCCCAATAAGCCTAAGTCGGGTCCTAAACGCGATTTTCAAAGCATTCGGCTATGCAATGCTGCAAACCATATCCTCATATAACTTTCCATTTTTGAACTATTGCGTTTTGAATTCAGTGAAAATTTGTCTAGGTTACATTCATTTTAAATGGGATCAGCTGTTCACTTCACCAAAGTGGTAACGTTCTATGGTGGTAACCAGCGACGTCATGTGCGCACGAAAATCGAGTTTTCGGCCGATTAATATCCTACCTTGTATTCATTGTATCATGGGCTAGAAGTACTTGTCATAGAGGATGACCAGACTGAGAAATGGCAATGTCGCCAAAAATCGCCAAATGTAGACGTAAAAATCGCCGGTTTTGGCGCAACGTAAATTCAAACGGGGTAAATCAATAAAAACAAAGTGGAAAGGTTTTAAGCAAGAACTTTAGTTTTTCTAACAAGTTGAATTGAAATTATATATGTTCACTTGTGTGTCTAAAATATATTAATGAGAAATTGGCGCCAAACGACAAAAAAATTGTCGCCAACATAAGCAAAAAATTTGGCGATAAATCGTCATGGTCCTTGGCCACAGAACAAAAATTAAACTTGGCATCTGCGTAAGAACGTACCACATGATTTTTATCTCGCGTTTGAAGTTCTTGAGCCTTCAACCGGGAAAAGTGAGGTTCAGGGTAAAGCCAAAAATGAAAACGATTCTAGAAAGTTGTTAATCGCGATTTAAAGTAAGGGTTTGTTCGTTTCGAACGAAAATATCAGATAGCAGAATGGCACCCACACTAAGATACATGCAAAAGCTGTCAGGTCATTTAATCAGCTCCAAGCATTTAGGGCTATTTCAACAGAGGTTCTTTGATAGCTCGTGGAAACAGTATTCAGGCAGTGTTCAGCCTCAATATCAACCGGACACGTGTAATATGGGAAATACAATTGTTGATAACAGAGAAGTAATCAATGATGTTGTCAGTAGAACGAAGGTTGAAAGATTAGTTCTACCTGATTCTATTATGTGTTCAGCTGGTCTTCCTGAAGAAAATGTGGTACCAAACAAGCAACCTGCCTCACCTGATGGCAGGCCTTCGCCTGACAAGCTTTTCCATGTGTACACAATATTAGGGAATACATTACCAAAGTTGTTTATCCAACCAATGGACTATTCCATCTATCACGATAATATCGTATTTGAAGACAATATTAGAAAGGTCAGAACAGAGGGATTATTAAATTATGTCAAGCAGGTTGCTCTGTTACGAACAATCGGACATATCAGGTTTGCTTATGTAAGGTTCGAGGTTTTAAAGATAACTCAACATCCAGAAGATGGCACAATCCGGATAAGATGGAGAATAAGAGGAATATCAGCATGGAGAGTAATGCTCATGTTCTGGAAAATTAAATTATGGGAATGGAAGGAAACACTTGAAAAAAGTGATAATTGGTATGATGGATATTCTACTTTTATAGTAAATGCAGACGGCAAAATCATTAAACACATAGCCGATAAAATGATGCCGGATTCTGACTCAGTAGTATCAGAAAATTCCAATTTAAATGCCGCAAAGCTAGCATTAATGATAACCGTTGTTCCCAGGGTTTCAGATATAGCCCTGTTTATGTGAAGTGACGAATATTAGTATAGAATATTATTTATTTTCGAAATAGCTGCAAAGGTCTTGGAAGCATTTTTCAAACATATTAATTTCTAGTTTAAATCGTCAATAATTGCTACGCGTTAAATGTTAATGTTATGTCTGTTATCAGTAAAAATGCGCTTTGTATATTATACTATTAATGTTGTTTCGAAGTAACTTATGAAATCTTGTAGCTGAATAAACAGAAACAAAGTAAAAACAAACATGTATTTATTAATTAAATAGTCAATAACAATAACCCATAAATGAGATCGCGGTAGCAATTGTACCAACAGGCCAATTACAGTGGCTTCCACAAATAACTTAACATAAACTAGATAAATATCCAAGCAATGAAACTGCTTAACTATACAAAAGACTCAAATAAATCAACCAGTTTTTTTACTTCCTTTATTTTAGCTGCTTGAACTTCTACGCCTTTCATATTTTTGGTAATTTCCTCTGCCTTAGCCATCATCTTATACATGCTTTTAATATTACCATCCATGGAATCAGACATTTTTGATACAGCATTTTTGTAAATATCCACATTATCTGCTGTGATAGAAGACACTGAATGTAGAATCCCACTCAAATTCTCAATTAGGTTGTCTACAGAAGTAGCCATGCGATGTGCTTCACATTCCAAATCATTTATCAGGGCCACGTCTATCTGACCAAGTTGGGGATCTAATAATTGCCTGTACAAAGTACTTGGAGTTCCGCTCCGCGAATTAGTTGGAGTATCATTCTTTTTCGTTACGGGACTGGACAGTTTTATTTTCGTCTCCAAATCCTCTGCTACAAAATGGGTCATATTACCTTCTACATGTACAGTACCATCTAAATTAAGTGGTCTAAGGGGCTTCTCACTTCGCTTTTCAGAAGGTAATGTAACAGGCCTCTTACTGAACTGTTCATCAATTTTCACGGAATCTAAATCCATCACAAGACTTTCATGCTCTTCAACATCAGGACTGAAGCCTGATTTAAAGGAAATTTCACTGTACGATTGAGTCATATGCTGAGAAATGTCGTCTCCTTCTAGATCTAAAGGCTCTTCGATTCGTTGCGTTTGCAATCCAGCTTCTAGCAGCTCTGTTTGTAAGTTTGGAGTTACTTTGCTGGGCCTCATTGGTAAAGGAGGCGGCAAACTTGATGTTAGAGTGTGTGGGGGTGTTGGAGACGAATCTCTGGAATGCTCCAACTCCATAACTGCAGCCACTTAACGCCCGTTTATATAAAATGTTTGTTGTAATTTATTGATAAATTATTTATGAGGATGTAAACAATCAAATAATAGGTTAACAGTTCTCAGTCCTCCTCATTGACAAGTTCACGTAAACAGAGTGAACCTCTACACAATAAAGACGGAGATATTATGGGTTGTTATGTACTATTTTTCTTAATTCCAGTTTGCAAGTTCACATATAATACATGATAATAGTTTGCTTTTAAAATTGTTGAACAACTTGAAGAGTTAATCTTTTGCGTATTAATTTTTTTAAATATATTATTTTATTTAACAACAAAACATTCTTCAAATAAATAAATTAGGAACACGCGACAAACAGAATCGAATAACAATGTTGTAGACTTTCTCCCGGTAATGATACACCATATCTCATGTATTACTTGTATTAGACTAATTTTTCACGTTAATTCGCATATATTTCGCAAAAATATAAATAGGATATAACTACAGAGAAATAGCAAAATAAATCAAATTAATGAAAAAAGTTAAAATGCGAATCACCAAAGATTTTTAATTAAATCTTTAAAATATTAATATTCTAATTTCTCCTTTTCTTTATTAGAAGAATTTCAGTGAAGAATTTGGTCCTGAAAGAAATTAATCCTAATTTTCTGTACGTTACAAAATAATGCATTTACACAATACGTATTTCAAAGACCACGTTTCCAGCTCCAAAAATTGTAGGGCACTAAATTTTAGTAGAAAGAAAGAAGTAAACTTCAAAGTATTATAACGTGTATTAATTAACCAATTGCGTTTTTTATGAAATTTTCTATTTTAAATCATTGTCTCATTTTAAAAATAAACAAACTTATATCATTTATTATCAGAGAACTAAGAATTCACACAAGATACTTCAGCTTGTGCTTCAAAAAAATGATAATTAAAATACGTGGCTCAACATTTACTCCATTGTTGGTCTCAGAAAATTAAAAATCAAAATTTATACTTTTAAAGAGAAGAAAAAGAAAGAAGAAAAGACAAATATATATTTCTAAGAAATATATATTTTTATTTTCTTGAATTGACCTCAGATTGAATAGGTTCCTTTAGTTATCCCAGCTAATATCATTAAGATAAAGAGCAGTTAATTAAAACAGTTGAGAACCTGGCCTACCTGAATTCATCCCAGTTAAAGATTCATTAAGTCAAAATTTATCGGTAACGTCTGCTATTTGGCCTTTTCGCATTCCGTCCTTGTTGCTTCTTTGAGAAGTCGTTTAAGTTTTAAAATTTGGTCGTTTTGTCTTCGCTCTTTACACTGATAGTACTTAATGCGCTGCTTTTGCTTTAAAACAATTTCATGAGCAACTCGCCAGAATCTCGAGCGTTTCACTGGACAATCCAGGTCTGCATTTTCAAAGTCGCCAAAATAAATTGGATCTCGACGGTTCCTTCTGGAACATAAGAATTTAGAGAAAAATTTTTGATACAAAATTTAACTTAAATTGAAACTTTTGCGCTTACTTGTAAGATATGGTTTGGTGCTCGTCACTGTTCGCAGTCGAAGGATGATCTTCAGTTGAGTCATTTAATGCCGATATGCTTGAAACATTATCCATTTTGTTTGGGTCAAGTCGCATTCGAGATTGCTTTAAAGGCGTTTCACATTTGATTTTAGATTCTTCATTTTCTGAGGTCGAATAATCTTTTGTTTCAGTAGAATCGAATACTGCACATTGATGCTGCATTTCTGGCTGGTCTAAGTGCTTTGTCTTCAAATTTTCAAAGTTGTCAGCCGTTTCTTTCCTTATTTGAAGCCGTTTATTTGTCTCGAGCTCATCAGGTTGAAAATGAACCAATGCCAGCTGATTCATAATTTCAGATTTGATGTAAACTGCTTCACTCTTTAATGGGGAAGGATCTTCTTCAGTTGATTTATTTAAAAAACCTGCACTGGCATGTTTTACGCTATCATTTGTTATTGGTCTCTCTTCATCACTTTGTTGTTGATTTTCCGCGGATATTGGTGATGAAAGATTTGCTTCAATTTCATCGTCGTTCAAGAATGCTTCTTTTCCATTCTTTGTTTCATCGCCGCTTAATTGGCTCTTCTTGACCGCATCTGGAATGTTAATTAATTTATCTACTTACTTTAAATTAAATATTCGAAAGAATAGTGTGGTGCGAATTAGGTATTGTAATAGGTGGTTGTTACTCAGTAATATTGTGCACATTTAGTACGTGCACGCCGTTTATTTTGTCCACTGTACTTGACGTATGAATACTGATCAATTCACGCGGATAACTGAATGCACATTAATCAGTTTAATTTGTTAGATTTTTGGGCATGAGGCACAAAAAAAATAATCCCCCGCCGATTTTCTAATATGCACCCCCACAGGAGTGAACTACGCGCTGCCACTGATTAGAATATTTTTTTATTAAATTTATTAGTAACTAAACGGATTCTTACCTTGGACACTTGCTAACCTTTGTGGCTTTATCTGTTTAGAAGTACGTTTTGAAGGACGACCGGTAAACTCAAATACCGATGGAACAGCCCCTTTTTTTAGATTCTTATTTCCATGGACGTTAATTTCATAATCACTAGCGGTAAAGTGTTTCTCACAGATAAATGCGTCTTTTGGGTCGTAATTTATTCTTCTCAAAGCGTTTAACCATTTTGTTCTTAATTCGAGGTCTTTTTGAGGGATTCTAATTTAACAAGAAATATTGTATGAAACGCTGCAAACTACACAGTGATTAAAAATACGTAAGAATATTTAGGAGAGTGATTTTCAATTTCTGTGTTTCGAAAATCATTTTCATATGTTAACATAAGTTTAGACCAATTTTTTCCAAATCCAACCATAATTGGATTAAAATTTTTGTCTGATGGACCATGCGGGGACATCTTAACACATTTTATTGCCAAAAAAAATCGAGCCACAGGGTTTAAGTAACTTTTATTCTTTTTGGGATAAAGCAACTAAAAATATAACTTTTTGCTTCCTAGATTTTTTGCTCGAATTTTGCTTTGTTTACGAAATGATCAAAACAAACCATTTTTACCTGCTCATTACATCATACAAAAATGACCTCAGAAAACACCCCCTTCCATTTTAAACACCCTCTAAATAAGTATGGAAAAATCTTACGAATGCTGAGTGTACTGACCTGTGAAATTTTTTCTTAATATTCCTTTCCCATCTTTCGAGGCAATTTAAAGCGGAGCACGACTTCACCATATTATTACGAGTTTATTTCTGTTTTAATTCATAAAAGTAATATTTTCACACGAACACTGAAGAACACTGTTTTAAGTCTGGCTGATGATTAGAGATCTCAAGTTAACTAATAAACTAAGAGTCAATAATACAACTATGATAAATTTCCAATTATTCTCGCTCTAATATTACGTATATTGTAATCGCTTGTGCTTAGCGTTAGCTGGAAGATTACATTAAATTCCAATGTACATATTTCAAATCTTATAATAACTGATGGTTTTTCTGTAGTTGACTCACTAAGTTTAAAATATGTCATAGGTAGATGCAATGTGGCTCTACTCGATATTTGAATATTTTTAAGTATAGCTTGAAGCAAACGTATGTTAACTTGTTCAAAGTAAACTATAACATAAAGAGTAATTTAAAATTGGAAATATTTTCCTGTAATAATACGAGACGGAAAAATACATAAAATGTATTATGTTGGCACATAAGAATACCTTCATTCAGAGACGTTGTTTACAGTAGTAGTGAGTAATATGTGATTGTAACAGTATAACTCCCATTGAGAAGTTATTATTACTAAATTGTTATAATACCTAAAATAGAACTAAAAAAGTTAGGTTTGTCAAGGTTTTTCGGCACTTTACAGCGTTTCTTACTGTGTTTACTTTACTACATATTTTTTTAGAAACCACTACTTTTGTTTCAAACTAAAGGTTTTGTTTATAAACAAGTTTCTTAACCTATTAAAACTACCTGTCATGATTTGAATTTACTTGACCTGAAAATACTAGTGCCATTTCCTTCTTATATGCACATGAAGACATGAGAGAAAATGAGTAGGATGGTTTGTCGCTAATCAATTCTTTTTCTGGCTTACCGTGATAATTGTATTGAAAATCTTATATGATATTAATTGCCATTGCTTATGTGCTTATCGATGGTTACTCGAGTTTTTGTTTTTTGTCACAAGCAGTACACATAGATGAAGGCAGTACACTGGAAAACATTGTTGCCGTCCTTCTGATCTAGTTTTTATTGCAAACATCTCAATATTTGATAAGAACTAATTTTCTTTACCATTTTTCCTGTACTCCCTAAACTGCCCCGAGGTGAATTTTGAATCACCCTGTATGTATATTCAATTTAATTTATTCTCATTTGATCTGCTCAATTCATTTTTCTTATATCAGTCGAATTTCGAGTTTCCTATTTTTCAATTTTAAAGTGAATATCTAGTTTTGATTAAGGAAAAAAAAGAAATATATCATACACACGATAATACCTATTTAGCAAAATATATTTTTTTCTTATCATTTATTTATACATGCACGGTATTATACCTTAATTGGGAAATACTTGAAGTACTGACATTTTGACGGACAAATATTAACTTGGACTTTACCTAAATTATCCCAAACAACCAAATTAACGAAAGATAACCCAAATTTACAAAATTTAATTGAAATATTATGTAACCGATATTTTCTGTCTATCTTAATTGAGTGAAGTATGCACTAAAATTTGCAAAATGTATCCAGAAGAAATCCAGAATGAAAGTAAGTCTGTCAAACCAGCAGATGATTTTCAGGTATGAGGGGAGTAGGGTGTGCCCAAGTTCTGATCCGCGTGTATTTATATCGCTTATTAATCGATAGTTAATGATTTATCTAATTTAATCGCACCGAAGTGATAAAAAACGTATCGCTTAATAAATGTGTCTCGACAAGACGGGCAGTCATCAATTTAGATTAAAATCAAACAGTTTTGAAGTGCAGAGTGAGCGTAGGTAGGTTATGTTATGTGAACGATGTAAATATTTACATATATTTCGAATAAATTAATACCCAGTAGGAAAGTAGCTTGTTGTTGTAGAAATGCCATCCCTGAGAAAACGAGTTTCCACTTATTTGCGACAATTGAGTTTTCATAATGAGCCCAGAGAGAAGAAAAACAATGTCAACGAGAATGCCTTTGTCACCAAATATCTGCAAGGGTGAGTTAATTCCAACAATAAGCCCTAGTAGGCACGTAAACTCATTGATTTTATTTGTTCCAGCCACATTTCGCTACAAGAGGGCCCCCCGATAATATATGGCAAAACCCCAACTGATTTACCCAACTACGAGTTAGCAAAGTATGAAAGTGGCACGAATACAGTTGTCGGGTGTTACTCGGGCCCTAATGGGGGCCTTACCACTGTTAAACGCACTGAGAAACACCTGTCTGTACCTGATGATGATATCGACTTTATTGATAATCCAGAAGAAGAGGAGCACCGTAAGTGAATAGAAATTTCAAGTATTATTTACACTTTGTCCTGGTTTTTATGTGTTGATATAGTAAATCTTGAATATGACCGAAAGCATATCAGCAAAAGTGAAATTCTTTCAGTACCCCCACCAATGCCAAAAATATCTCCCAAAAGGGTTTCAGGACAACCAATCGACAACACCACCATGGTGATTAAAGTAGCTGGGAATGAGTATTGTGTTACCAACAAGCCTAAACGGCACAGCAAAAGCTTCAGTCTAGGCAGTATATCTGACTTTAATATAGAGGTGGAAAAAACGAAAATAGACAAAGACTTTTACAATTGTGATAATAAAAAAGATTCAAATTCAAATAACCACCACAGTCAATGTATAGAAAATCAAATGCAATGTGATACTAGTGAGAGGCTTGAAGAGGGCTGTGAAGGTACAATAACTACTGATATAAAATCCGAAATTTCCATCACTAACTCTGGTACTAACAACAATACTAAAAGTGAACAGGTGGAAGAAAGTTGCCATTTAAGAAAACTACATATAGACGAAGTGAAACCTAAAGTAAATATCACAAGCCAGATGTCCGCAAAACATCCTTCAGCATCAAAAAGTAGATTTGTACCAAATACCACAGTGGAACCCAGCAAGAATTATGCATTGGCCAAGTCCAGAAGTGAGGGCAACCCATTTCACAACAAAAAAAGGGGAAAAGTTATCCAAGTGCAGAGGCAGCATAGTCAAAGGGGTATAACATTTTGCTGGCATGGAGTTTTGCAGTTGTTTGATCACTTTGTTTTATTTATTTGTTTGATTATGGCATTTAGACTTGTTTCTAGATATAAAACATGGAGAAATCATAATTTAGATGAGAAATTCTTACGCTTGGCAGATTTTGATTGCTAAACATATTGATCCCTTCATAAAGCCTCTAATATTTTCTATACCTAATACTTTTATGGGCAGTTGTATGTTCTTTGAAAGAAAATTATACAGCAAGTTCTGTATGAAAATTTATTTCAGCCTATGTGTAACACATATTAAAAAATCTTCCTGATTCCTAATCAGAAGCATATTCAAATATTTACTAAACCTGCCTTGTTTCGCTCGGTAATTAATTAAGCTATCATGATCTAACACGCTCTATAAATATTTACTGTGTCTCTGCCTTAATTAATCAATTAATAATGATTTCTGGTAAATGTCTGAGCAAGTCTACCAAATAACATTGCTTAATTGTAGCGTACTAACATTCGACCCTGTGTTGGCGTTTTGCACGCGAAAACATTCTTATACCGCTTTTTATGTTCTAATCAAGATATAATAGACTTCCCAATTTCGTCAATTATTGTTTATTGCCGTGCTGTGTTGAAGGCCGTTTTTTACTTCCCTTTTACTTCAAGGTCCATTTGAATTAGTGAAGCCTGTAAATTGAAGCAACTAATCTTTGCAATGGTACCATCGAGTTACTAACCCGATTCAAGGATTTTCAAGTCAATGCTATTTCTATTAGATTAAATTGAAATGACTCTGCTTTTAAATTTTCTCAGCTGCTTTTCGAAACCATTTGAAATTTGTGCTAAACCGCTTCTTTAATACTAATTCGTCATTAATAACAGCTGGAATGTTCATATATCTGATGAGAGAAATCGCTTTAACGAAATTAAATAGCAAAGTTGCTTGCAGATGATTCAACGGAAAATCAGCAGTTTGCGATTGACGACGCATCATTGCCTGCTGAATGGACGCGAAAGTCAGACTGTTTTTACGGCGTCTCCGATAGTTTATATGACCGAAATCAAGTCACCAAACAGAAAAATGGAGACCCAATAGCGGACTGTTTTGGCCTTATAACCCGGAATGATTCGGCAATTTTGGCTGTTGCAGATGGAGTCAATTGGGGTAAATTTCCTGCTAAAATCTAGCACTCCAATCCACTAAACCCAACGCACATTTCAGGCGAAAAGGCAAGTATAGCGGCCAAATCAGCGATTCACGCCTCTTTGCACTACCTCAACAAAACAATTTTTAATGATACGAAACCATTTGAAAAATTAACTACTAAGACTGACGATGTGGCGCTGAGCAGTGACGCTCTTAGCACGGATGAAACAACTAATCTTATTGCTAATACCAGGGAAGTGTTTGTCTGTTTATTGCGAGCCTTCAACTGCGCCCATGATCTCATCTTAGAAAATCAGGTAAATGGTAAAAGTGAATATAATTTTAAATGCGAAGTAGATTTGTTCTTTTGGTTTGGAAATTTGAAAATCGCAAAGTGTAGCTTGTCTTGTACTGTTCCACACCCGTTTTTGAATAGATTCTGGAAATAGTTCTCCCTTTTAGTCCCAATATCGCCGTTTGTTTATTTTTAATCAAAAAGCTATTAAACAATGTAGTATCATTGTTATATGTGCACGTTACCAAAAATGCACTAATGCATTAACTATAAAACTTTCCTAATTTTTCAGCTTACATTACTAAACAACTGCTAATATGAGACTTGACTTATTACTTACAAACTAAAAAACAATATTTATAATAAATAATAATATTTTTTTATTTCGCCATTAGGTAAATAGGTACTGTTGTAAGAAATCTTTAAAAGAACAAGGTTCTAAGTAGTAACTCAAAAATTACAGGCCTAAAAGCTCCAAATTGCGTTACTTTTTTAATTTCAGTTCATTTTGTGCTTGGGTAAAGTAATCAAAGGTCAAAATCAAGCAAAAATTATAAAAATCAAAATTAAGGGCTCGTGAGGCTGAAAGAGAGCTTTGTTTGTAAAAAAAATAATACGCACTCCCGAATGTACTTTGCATGTACCGTTAAAATTTTGTTGTTTTCAATTTTACCTCTGCATGTTTCGTTTGTCTTAATTCCTAATATTATTCGAAATATCCACACACAAAACACCATACCATACCTAATCGCCAAATCAAAAATTGCATGATAGAGCATCCTTTTGGTCTGCATGGTAACATATCCGGTCAGAATATTCTCCCCACACAAATATATTGAATTATTTCAATTAATGAAGACATTAGTAGCTATTGTTTCATTGCGGTCTGCACAAATATCGCAAAAATATATTAAAAGCATACTTAGCATTGATCAATTTAGGGAATGTTGACCACGCTAACTGTGGCGGTAATTCTACCTCTAAACGAAACGAGATCTCAACGACACGAAAATGGAATACATTCCAATAATCGGAAATCTCACTACGTTTGTTGCGTGTGCAATGTTGGAGATACTCTAGCTTATGTATATTCCCAAAAAAGTGGAATTCGGGAATTGACTAAAGGTTTGTCCCATATTGATAGCTCAAACTCTTTGGTTTATAGTACGTTTTAGGGTCTCACGATGTCAACAGCAACCGGGATATGAGAGATGCGTTGGGCGCTCTTGGTCCAGTCGATGGAATAAATCCCGAACTCAGCAATCTCACCTTGTCCATAACCACTTTAAATGAAGGAGATATTGTTCTAGTGGCTAGTGACGGCCTTACAGACAATTTTGATCCAAATGTGTGTAGATTTACAGTGAACACAGTGAACTCGAAAGCGGATGTTACCAAGAACAGGGTTCAGAACACTTCTTCTAGTGGAGTTGCACCATCCCATTTACCCAACAGCCAATTACAGGGTAATGCACGATTACTAGAGGGGAGAACGCAACCTTCTAGTGTTAATAGTCAGAGAGCCGAAGGAGTTATTAGTCAGAAACCTCCGATTAAACCGCCAAGAAGAAGTAAGAATAGAGGTTCTATTTCCAGCGCTAGTCAGTCTGAGAGATCGGCATCTTCAGTAGAGAAGGACAATGTGCCGATCAGTGAAGCACCAAACCAGGGCTATGTAAATAAAAATTTGGCAGCAGTCAAAACCAAAGACTTAACCGAAATGGAAAATCCCCTAGTGGCGCATTTTGTGAAGGAGAATTCCCCCGGGGATCACAGAACCGTAAAAAGTGAGGTAAAAAAACAACGTGCGGTAATCGACAATAAAGCTAGTAGCCTGCGGAAACAGGTGTCGACCCAAAATCGGACCGAACTGGATCGCAAAGTGCCTCCAGCTGTAAAAGCCAACCCCAACACTTTGGACTCCAGCTTTGCAAAGCAGAAAACCCAAACCCATAAATTCTTAAAGTCGAAAACGTCCTTAGATCTGCGGTCTTCACACCAGAACAAAATTCAAATACCACGAAATGTTGATGGCATTCCATTTGTAACCCCTTACCAGAGGTACGAACTTCAACTTCTGCTAATGGAGGACATATTAAAGAACGGAATTTCTGGAAACGACTCGCCAATAACAACAGCCAAACGTTTATGTGAAAACCTGGTTAGCTTTACCATGAGTATTACTTCGGCGAAGAGACGCACTTTAGAAGACCAAGACATGTATTTTGATCACCGGAATGGGGTTTTAGTGGAAGTGTCCAACCAAGAGAAAAAACTTCGACGGAAAAAAGGACTGGAGAAGGTGCAATCGTTGCCTGGTAAACTGGATCATGTTACAGTCGTAGCATATAATGTGGGGAATGTTGCAATTTGAGTATCGGTTACAGAAAAACAGGAATAAGATTTTAGGATAAATATTATCATATTTTAAACCATCAATATTTTAATTCGGAGCGAAAGAACAAAAATGCAGCTCATTATATCTGGTGTGGTCAAAAGTGGTAATTTGTTTATAAATAATCGTAATTTTTTGCAAGCAAAAATATTTGGGTAATGTTTGTCTCACCATTGAAAAAGCACGAAAATGACGACAATTTCTGCTTTTGCAATATTCGCTGTAAATCATTTCTTTATTGTTTGCAAGCATACGCAAACCGGAACAGCCTAGATGCTCATTAAGGATGTTTTATTCGGATTATGCTCACATATCAATATGTTTAGCTTTAAATCGGTGAGAACGGGCAAGTTAACTGCACTATGATATTTGTTTATTTTTAAATCAGTTGACAAACTTCTAAATTTTATAAGTCTAATTAATAATTCTTAATTTATAGTCTTCCAGGGATGTTTTATCGAAATGGTTTTATTGTTTTTTTTTATTCCGTCTTGTTGACCAACCAGAATGGAGTGAGACACATGTATATCCAATAACGTTAAAGTATTTTTATTTAACGGATAACTACGAAGTAATCAACCAATAACATTTGCGGAAAGTACGCCCATATAAGCGAAATAAGTAATAAATGACTACTACCCTCATGGGTATATGATTTACTCTCATTTTAACATTCGTATATTTCTTCAATTAGTATTTTAATTTTACTGTTTGTATGCAAATACTTAACTTAGATAAATCAACATTCGATTTGCTCTGTGCAATAAGTAACCATTATACGTATAAGTAGTAGATACCTACATGATCTGCCTGCAATGTTTTTCAATTACAGGAATTCCCAAATAGGAAAAGTGTATTTTTATATATTTGAAAACTTATTTTTATATTAGTAAGTGTTTAAGAATCGTTGTAATCCTCGAGGTAATGTAATACAGACCGAATGTAGTTATTTAATTTATCAGTTTAACCTCAGGACGTTTCAATATGTACTGATTTTTTTGTACCTCGTGTTTTTGTTATTTTTTTTTATTTAATAAAAAAGTAAATTTTATAAATCAGGTGTATTTTTCTAATGCATGCATTTCTTTCTTTAGCGATTTTATTCCTGATTTCCGTCTGCGCTCTCTTATTATTAGTAAATTAAAAAAAAAACAACGAATAATTCGACTGCGTTTATAGACTATCGAAAGGGTACTTTTTAAAGGAAAAGCACACGTTTTATTAATCCGTCCCAAGCGGCTGTATTGCCCTGAAAGTTATAATCACATTACTTAAAAACGCGCAAAACATCTATCCCTGATGGTTTACTTTTGAAAATAAGTATTTTTGTTCTATTTTCTAGAAAATTGCAGTGGCCGTCCACCTAGCGTATGTGTGTGAATATCGTTTTCAAGTTTCAAAAGTTCTAAAAACATTTCTGGAAGAGGATGGAAATACGTCCGAGTAATGGGTCAAGCGTTTTGCGTCAGTCACGTTTAGACGATGTATTGACTGACAGTCTGTTCAATGTTTTTAGTTATAGGGCACATCACTTATATGTTATGTTGTAAATAATAGTGTTTTAAATTAAAATACATATTCTGATGTCTGCTATATTAATAACACATATTTCAGAATTTTCTCCGTTATTTGTGTAAAATGCGAGTAATATCTATCTGCGATTGAGTAGCGTTATGGTAAAAGTTGAAAAACATATAAATTCTCCAAATTTTGCGAAAAAATCCAGTTTTAAGTGACATTTTCCATAGACTTTGGCAATTGACTCAAGTTCTAACTATTGGTCTGACAATTGGCATATGACATACGTCTTTTCCGCATTTTGCTTTACATGTTTATGTATGCCAGTGTTCATTCGCAATTAACCTTAACTTCAATGAAACTGCTGAGTTTTAAGTGATAATAAAGTGTTATTGATGTCATAAAACAATGGCTCACATATGTAGATTATGTCTGAAACCCATACCGAAAGAAAGCGATGTAGTTCCTATCATCAGTATAGACAGCAATGGAGTTGATGTCACGACATTAGTAAAAACTCTTGTTCCGGAAATTGTAAGCATTGTACTATTATTTAACATGCGATTACAAGTTTACGTCGTTACATGATAAACAGCATTGAAAATGCCATAAAGGCAGAAGAAATTGTTAACTTTCTGAATTTTCTTTTATATCAAGTTCATTTGCCAATGACATTTCTACAAGCAGAAATCGACTGTTAAGTCAATCTTTGTGGGCATGAAAAGTTAGTTGCGCTGTTTGCGTCAGTTCATAGATGCCACCAATGTAACATGAACCAAATAATTTTAGTTTGCTTATATGAAGTGGCATCATTGCCTAAATGTACCATCACTAAATAAATAATTATAATATTTTTTTTGCAATAATAAAATAATTTTCCAGTTTATCAGGCCTCCGCTTTTGAAGTTATCAATGTCTTCACTTGATAGATAAACTTTTCACTTGTCGATCATTGAAATTCAATTCTTGGTATTCACAAGATGCCAAGAAACACCACTTAAATAAATTAAGAGAATATCTAGTACATACATGTAAAAGGTGAGCAAATTGTTAATTTCAAACGTGAGAGTCTGATAAACTAGGAAACGACCGAAACTTCTGTTAAGGTGATATTTTGGATCTGCAGGCAAATTTTTCAAGACATCCTTTGAATCTAAAAGGACAAAATCCTTTTAGATTCAAAGGATGCCTTGAAATTTTTTTTTCTTTCGGTGGCATTTTAATTGCTACAGACATCAATTTGCTTTAACACCAAATGCGCTTCGAGTGGCATCGTAAAGCTATATATGTAATTTGAAAAACAAATGTTAAGTTTTCGTCAGGAAGACAATTTAAATAATTTATATAAAAAACCTGGGTTTTGAGTATCACTTGACAAAAAAATACACGATTAAACAGAAAAAGATACTAAATTTGGTTCAGACACCTTGTATGTTTAAAAATTATATTGTTTAGGACAATTTTTGTCCTTAGTTTCGATGTTCGTAGCTTTTGGTTTCCAAATAATATAGGTTTATCAAATATTTGATCCAGTATAACTCAGATGTTCACATTTTCTTTTCAGTATATAGGCCTATCGGAAAATCCCGTACTTTGTCATCTATGCTACGATTCACTATCTGAGGCTTACTCGTTTCGTCTACTATGCCTGAGATCCGAGAATCTTATTGGTATTTTTATGCGAGAAACTAAAACCATGACGCAGACGGTTGATCTGCAGCGCGTAGTAAACTATTGGAAGACGGTATACAAGAAAAATCGCCGTGATAGAAGTGCCACGCAGATGAACTTAGCTGAATGCTTTGAAGTGGATGATGTCCAATGTATGTAATTTAGCTGTTAAATATTTCAATCCAGTTGAAACGATTATTCCAATTATTCGCTTTTTATATGATTCTACAGGCATAGTTGAGCCGAGTGCTGATAAGTCAGCGAAAAAGCTCCGAACGTTTGGTCCACAACGGAAGAAACGCATTTTGAGCAGAAAACCCTCTGAGAGAGATGCACGAAAATTAATTCCATCTGAACTTGAGGCCAGTCAAACTGCCGCAACTCAACCTTCCAGTTCAACTGAGAAAAACAATGAGTCTACAGGAATTATTACTGAGAACGAAGCCAGGAAATGTTTGGATATCAACGCATTGAAAGAACAACCGAAAGGTAAAAATTGTGTCTCATAAATTTCCTCCTGTGAGTGTTTTAAACAGAATGTATATTATTTAAGACTTTGATTTTTCATTACATTTTTATTATACGTAAATTTTTTTTTAAGGGGGCTCTTCCATCTTACGACTTCTCGGAGGTCCTGATGTGGATCTTTGCGGCTGTCCCCCAGTCCATGATTGTCCCAGCCACGCTAATTTTAATGTTTTCGTTGAAGAAAAGCGGCGAGAAACAATGCGAAAAAAACACGCTTCTTGCAATCTGTTCTGTGAATATCGCCATATGCGAACTTGCAAATTTTATATAAATATGGTACCTAAGCAGCCGGAAACAGGTTTGTATTTATAACAGTTTATGTGGTTTATGGCTTCTTGTCGTGAACGATTAACTCTTATTAAGAAACTCTGTAATTGTTTAAAGAAACAGATAAGGCAACGGAAAATCTGGATATTTCTGATCGACCAATCGACACCAAATCCACCGAAGCTTCACATTGCAGTAATATTGAAAAACTTATTGGCGCAATAGCAGAGGAACACGAAGCAACATGCAATGCTGAAGAAACTGCGGAAGATAAGACTGACGATGAGGACGAAATTGATGTTTTGAGTCTGTTGAAACAGTTACAGGAGAACGAAAACTTGGAGAAACTTGGGTAACGTTAAATGAAATTCAGTGAGTTGAATGTGTGTTTTGAAAAAATACGTTTCAGGCTAATGGATAATGCGACTAACTTGCAGGATTTATATGTGATTAAAAAGATTTTCGATAAAAAAGATAATTCATTCAGTTATGCTCTTATACCTAAATCCGCTGTCGAAGACCAAAGTGAAGAAGAAAATTCTTTGCCAAAGAATAATCTACAGGCTCAAGGCACAAATACTTGTACCAACGAAGCTGGAACCAATAGCGCTATTCTCAATTCAAGAACACCAGAAAAAGACGACACGGAAAATGCAAAAAATAAAAATGACGAGACTGTTACAAGAAGGAAAAGTTTCTCGAAAAGCTCAGACGCGTTATTTACCCCACTTAAAATAAAGAAGGAACGCGCCGGTAAGTATGTCACTATTAGCAAATGTTAATAATATTTAATACACGATTGATGTAAAAAATATAATATTTTAGATGAGGATATAGTGAGTTCAATTTTGGGAGTTCCGCCAGAAGATTTGCCAATTACTGCAACAAAGCCGATAAAAGGAGTAGAAGTGGATCCTTTAGGTTAGTTAGAAAAACGGTATTTGCTATTTTATATATAATATAGCACAACCGTTTTTCCAACATGTTTATGTTAATCTTTGCAGTGTTAACATAAACTCAGATGAAAAATCTTTTTAATCTATTACTCTATGCGTTATGGATTTACATGTTTCAGTTACTGAGAATTATTAACTTATTATAATTTATATACCCTTTTTTGCAGATATATCGAATAATCAAACAGAAGAGAGGCCCTTCATTCGTGTAAGGCCAGTTGAGTCTCTTAAACTACCATGCAGCTTAACCGTTGAACCATTGCCAGTAGCAGATAGTTTGAATTTAGTCATACCGGAGACTTCAACTAGTGTAGCTTTCCCTAATTTGCTGGCTGATTCACTACCACCTCTTCCAGCTATAGTTGGACTAATTGAGAACAATCTTCCACCGCCAATACTTAGTCCAATTACCGGTAAATTTCTTAGTTATTCATTACTTGTCTATTGTGCTGAACCATTTTACGCGTTTACATCGTAATTTGTGCAATTTAAGGCTATAAGTCCATGACTTGACAAATGTTATTTATTGAATGGAGAAATGTACAGATCAATTTAGAAAAATTATAAATCTTGATTTATATATATACTTTTCAACATTTGCTTAAGAGAATTTCTGATATTGCCTAAAAATACCGCTACTTTTCTTTTGAGCCAAATTCATATTTTTGCAGAAAGCCTATACCTATACCTAAAATTGAACAATGATTGTATGGATTTCAAATCGTGCACAATTTTTCTGAATGATAACTTTTACTTAAAATTCATAACAAACTTTTTAAATGGCTACAATACCGTTAACTTCTTATTAATTGTTCTTCTGAGTTGGTTTTACTTAATTGTCTTATAAATTACACACATTTATTTGCTTTATTTTTAAATTATTTCAGATATTAACCCAGAAGGAACTGTGGGCAGTTATGTTAGTCAACGCCCGTTATATACAACTAGCTCACCTCCTCCTCTACATATGTGCGTTTTGAAACTCCCCAACTCTAATTTGTGCAATTCAAAGAAACGTAAAGCACCAATAAATAGGCCTAAAAAGCCAGCTAAGAGACGCCAAACCAAAACGTCGAAATCGAGAAAGCTAAGTGAGTCCAACCCCGACCCATTAGCAGCCATTCCTCTAAGCCTTGAAAAACCCCTAACAAAGTCAATGGATGCCAAAGATGATTTCGTAATTAAAAAAGAGCCTTTGGACTACACTGGTGGAGGAGATGATTTCAAACATCCCGGTGAGTGAATTGTTGATAGCTAATGGGTTTGGTACAAGCTGGGACTTATTTTCAGATAAAGCGTTGACGAAGAGGCCAAATCAAGAAACCAGCAATTTATCAAAGCTGATCGACGATCCACCGATGAGTAAGTCCAAAATCGCTTCTTTTTTTTGAGTTGCAGTGAATTTTAGTAGAGACTTAACAATTAAAAAACATGCTATAGTCAGTTGTTTAAATAAAAAAGATAAGTAAGTCCGAGCTACATCAGAAGTATGGTGATCGATATTCTATACATTAAAATCAATGGCACCGTTCCAATTTCCATTAAAAACTATATTTTTTTGTTCTTATTCCTAGACGAAGATCAGTTGGATATACCAGAATATGTTCAGATAAAGAACGTGTCGCTTGTTAATGTATCCGATCTGGTCCAAAAGGGCGTACAAACCAAAAAACTAGAACCTAAACCGCCTAAAGATGTTGATAATATTTCACCAAGTAAGTTATCATGACTAATTACTGATAGTTTTCAGTTCACGTTAAATAGGGATTCAAGTAATTTTGGAATTTAAATTTCAGTACGATTGCCGCAGAGTTTAAGCGAATTGCTTGATGCAAACCCAAAGAAAAGTGAGCCCAAAGTTGATGATGTTCTAGATCTGATTACAAAATCAACTGACGATGACCCAAGTTACGACGCTGACAGAGATCCTTTGTATTTGCCCCCTGCTGGGTTTAGGCAACGAAAACGAGATTTTAAGCGCTTTATTGAACTGAGTGATGAAGAAAAGGCCAAAAGAATGCGCCGCAGTACTCGAATCAGGAGAAAAAAAGTCGATAAATTTAACTTAGAGACGCCTAAAGCAACTCGTCGGAAAGTTTCTAAGACTGAAGCTCAATTGAAATGTGTCCTGCCCACAAAATTTACTAGTGAAGGTGATTATGTCAACGATCACGACTATTTTATTAGCCCCTATGCAAGGAATAGAATGGCTAGTGTGAGAAGGAAGGGAGGAGAACACTGCATTTGTTTGCTTTGCGATTTGATTCATTTATCATCCAAGCATGTTGAGGTAAGTGGCATGCAATATACTTAAATAGTTATTCTTGTTTCATCTTCTAGCATCTGGCTATCTATGGTAGCCAATAAAATTTCTATACTTTTCACGTTTCAATAGAGAACCCATCTAGTAGGGCACTCATTTATAATTTGAAAATATATCGAACAGTTAAATTTGAACTGTTTTACGTCAAGAGTTATTTTTTATATTGTAGCATATGTCTGCTCACTATACGAAGTGTGCTATTTGCTGTGCAGATTTCAAAAATGTGTTTGTCTTGAATATGCACGTTCGCAAACACACTTCACACTGCAAAGAGTGCAAACTTAGCGTGACTTATGCGAGATTCTTGCATCACGCCGAAACTCATAATAGGACTCCAGGAATGTCTAAGATACTTTTACCTCTGCCTCCCAAATTTCCTATATCGGAAAATGACTTTTTAGATGAGTTAAAACCGAGCATAATCCAGCCCTTTACACAAAAGCGAAAAATATGTAGTCCGAATCCCAATGTTAAAAAAAGTAAAAGAGCAGCTGGGTAAGAACTAAGTTCACTTTGCAGTTATTTCGGAACTTTCTAATACGTGTTTTTCGAAGTAGAAATGAATCAAGGCAATTGGAGAACAACGCCTTTTGTAAACCGTCGTCTATCACTCTCACCGAACTCTTGAAAAGTTCTCGACCTACCAATATGAACCGCATAATGACCGAGAAGGAATCTGTTTCAAATTCAAGCGGATCCACTAAAAAGAAAATGAAATCAATAATGCGTAGAAAAAAGACAAAAACTGGAAATCAGAGAAAACCTTTTTCGCCTTCCAGGTTATCTAAAATAGTTGATGAAATCGTCAATACTGCGAAGGAATTAAATTCAAGAAAATCTGAAATAATAGAAAGTCACGTTTATACAAAGGAAGACAGTTCTGGGGATGGTCAAGAGAATGAGAACGAACTGACGAAAATAAACAATTTGAATTCTAAAACATGCCAAAAAACCAGATCGCGCTCAACATATAGAACTGCAAGTGTTTCAATACAGGAACCCTTAAATACTGAGACAATGGCGGAAAAAGTTACTATAATGGAAAAACACGATGATCCGCCAAGTTCCGATAACATTAATTTATCAGGTAGAGTGATATTGCTATTAGAAATAGTTGTTACCGGCTAATTTAGTCGATTCATTATTTTTATTACTTTATCATTTCCTATTAGGACTTTTAGATGATGCGTATTCTGTAAAATCAACAGAACCTTTGGGAATTAAAATACTCAAAGTAGATGAAACAGTTATAAATAAAATGTTTGCCTGCTTGGCCTCGGCGAATACCTTGGAGAGTGATAGTAAAAATGAAGTACCGACAGCTGAAGAAGTTGGATTTAAACTTTCTAATAACATTACGTGGAAGCGACCAACGAATTCGAAACAAACTGAAAATGAAGCACAGGTCAATCTCGAACAAACAGTCCAAGCGGATTGCTGTAAGTGAAATAATTTAGTTAGTGAGTTAATCCAAAAAGTCTTTGAATTTTCCAATTTAAATTTAAAAGTTACATTAATAAATAAGCAAAGCGGGCTGTCGAGGCTCTTCAATAAATATTTGCTCAAACTTTTTTTGTTTGTTTTTGTACAAATTATCTGGCGTTAAGTAAACTCTATCAACTAATGAATGTTTGCATTTTTTTATTAGAAGCTATAGAAAGGCAAATTATATTCTTGAGCGAATAACCAATAATAATTTTCCTACATTAATATGTTTGTTTTAGATGTTGATTTTACTGATATGAGCAGTACTGGCCACACTGTTACTGTAGCGCTTCCTACTGAGAAAAATGTGGAGCAAGTTGCAAGTTTGGACGCACATATTAGAAACCTGAAACACATCAGTGGGACTGATGAAAGTATAACAAGTGTAACTTCACCAGGTGAGCTCATTTCTTCAGCTTTTAACGCTTCAAACCGCCCGCAGTAGTCAGAATTTATCAAGTTCCAAAGTTGCTCCAATATTGTCAGTTTTCGTTGAGCAGTACCAAACTAAAATTAACAGATTTTCTTGCATTAGTGCTGGATGATGTATTAATCCCATCTACCGCCACAAAAAAGATGGTTATTTGCAAAGAAAAAGTTGCAAAAATTGCAGAATATTTGAAAAGCAACCTCAAGCCATCTATTCCAAGTTGTTCTACAAGTGAGACTTCTACGGGTAAGACTATCTCTGAATCTGATCCGATTTATTAAGTTTAATGCTTGATGGGTTTTAGCTGAAGCAGATGTTGAACTTTTGGCGACTTCCGATGATATTTCGTCATCTACCATTCAAGCTGTCGATAATAATGTAATTGCGGTGGAATCACTACATAGGGGAGAACAAAATAGGAGTGAAAGCATTAATCCCGTAGAAGAACCACAATGATCATTAGCTGAAAATATACCCAAGACTAATGAATAGATCTGCAGGTCTATGCACTGACTAAAAGACTCTTTTCGTAGTTATTGCCATTGTTTCAGACAATTCGGATATGAATTTGAATCACTTTCTGATATCCGTATTTATAATAGCAAGTGCGTAATTAATTTACTTTTTAGCTTTCAATGCAGTGTTTTTATTACGATTATTTCATTTGGGCCTTATTTGTAATAAAACCAAAAAGCGATTATTCCAACGTTTTTATTAATGTCGAATTCATTTTTATTACGCTACTTCCCTTAATTCGTATATAATTTAATAGTGCTATCAGCTCCCGAGGAAAACACCCATGGTTGTAGCGGATGGAAATGGACCCCCAGAATACCAAAATCATTGAAAGGCTGATGGTCTTGAAGTCTCTTCAAAGGTACGATCAACGCATTTTGCAGAAGCTCACTAAAGTAAGTAGAATCAGTTAGTTTGATACTTGAAAAGAAAATTAATTTAACACATATTCAGTTACTTACTTATATACCATTCCATGCGATATAATAAGACTTCTGTCATCTGATCCTGAGGCAAATAATGGGTACCGCTTGTGATAAGCGACCCCTCTCACAGATGTTCCGTGCAATCTCAGCGTCTGATAGGGTTTAGTGCTTAAATCCAGGTCAAACCACAACATTTTTCGATCGTAAGTCCCTAAAACACCAATTATTAGCTACTCTCAAGTCACGATTAAAGATAATTGATTGCTCCCATACCCACTAACAAATTATCACCACCCGGATGAATCGCCATGGTAGAAATACAATTCGAATTGGTCATTAGCTTCTTAAGTTGTGCCTGTTTCAATAGATCGTATATTTTCACGTGACGCTGTGTAGCAACAAACAAAAACGGTTTTGTTGGGTGGAACAGGATGCACTGCACTAGTCCTTTAGATTTTGTTAAGGGCAATTGACTTTTTCTGTAAAAAAACCATATTATTTCTTCGTTTAGTACCCTTGCCTAGCATTAATTAGGATATTAATGTCTGTTTATCAATGTTTATGTACTGGTTCAATAAAACTTTGCTTTACGAACCGTTTTTGATCGACTTGCGTTTGGTCAAAGCCATTCAGTCCCTATATGGTTCACAGGTTTGAAACCATTTTTATGCTAATAATTGAGTTTATTAAAGTCAATGTAATAAGTAATGTTCAAATCACTCTTAATGTGGACAATAAATAAACCCAGTGGCCCTTTTACCGTTTATGTACAACTATAAAACCAATTTGAGATCAACATGATCCACTTACCTCTTAGATATTTGCGAAATTAAAACAGATCGGTTTAGGCCATCGGGCATAAGTGATCCGAAATAGTCCCCTTTGCCATGCCAAGTGACTTGAGTCACCATTTTAAAGTGCTTTAATTGAATTCGCACTCCTCTATCGTATAGACTTTGTTCTGGTTCGCACCACTGGACGGCCTTCTTTACTCTGGAAAAGCGAACATTTCAGTAGTTTCATGGAACCAATTTTGTTCAAAACCAACCTCTCACTGATAACTACGTCGCTGTTTGGCGCTTCTTTTAATACGTCATCAGTTCGGCTGCTCACCACAAAATCGCCTACTCCTGGATTAATGAGAAGCACCTCATTGCCAGTAGCCACCAAAACTAAAGATAGAGCCGCATTGGGACACCATTCAACACAGCGCACTATACTATCTGTTTGTATAGTTTTAAGACATCTGCCTGTATTTACCTCCCATATTTTTACTGCAAATAGATAATCAATTAATCGAGTCATTTTTCGAAACTAAACCAGCTTACTTGTGCAATCGTCGGAACCACTCAACAAATACTGTCCAGTCTTATCAGTACTTATTGTCCTAACCATATCCGTATGGCCCTTATATTCTATTGACAAAGTGGTCGGGAATGGTTGTAAATCTCGTGGACTTGGCAATTTTGGAACCAATGATTCTGGTTCGATGCTCAGTTTCATTTTTATGGCCCTGGGGCACAAGTACAAGTCCAAGCAACGCAGGAAGCGCTCTTTGATAAATCTGTAATTGATTGAGCATTCTAAATATATGTGCAACCGTAATTCAAGTATTATTTTACCTGGGATAAGCAGGTACTTTTCTAAGAGCGTCGAACTTTTGTGGCACGAAATGAAGTTTTCGCTTCCAAGGGGCATTTTTAAGTTTATTCCACTCCTTCATTTCTTTGGCATCAAAAAGATACTCTGGTGGTGGATTATACGACTCTGCGTGACCTAATGTGGGACATTCGAGATGTTACAGAGAAATTTGCTTAGTGTGTTTACTCACCTGGTAGTAATCGCTTGGGAGCTGCAATGTGTTTGTGGATCCTCCTCATTTCTTCAGCTTGGTCGTCCGCACTCCACAGCATATAAAACTGTGGTTCCTTCTTTGCCCTCAGCCTTGCCTGTTCTTCCCTTGTCTTGATCCAGCCCATTTTCAGGGCATGGACAAGCTTGGAGACTTTTTTTGCCTCATTTTTACTGGGCAGGAATGACCTTTTGTGTTCAGGGAATTTTCTGATGGGCATTTTCTCCACTTGGCTTGTGAACCTAAAACCGCACTATTAGAGCAATAGGTTGCGCATAATACGCATACTGTTTACCATTCGACCCACGGTGCATATTCATCGAAACTGACATCAGGTATTTTCTGAGCCTTGATTCGTTTGATCAAATTAATGTCTTCCTCACTTAGGATTACATTTTGTCCAGTTTGTGGGTCCTTAACCGTTCTCCAAAAGTCGGGGTCTTCCATTTTCTTTAAAAATTCATCCAAATGATCGCCAGCTTCGGGTTTTATGATTTGCTTTCCATCCCAGTCATATCCTAAGTGTTTGTATTCATCATACCTAGATGAAGAAAAGACAATTTAAATAGTTTTGTTGTTCATAAATTAATTTACAAAATTATATTTTCATAATACATGTTTCCATGGTCTAAAACATGCAAAAGTTGATTCTACATGTCTCCAACTTTAAATATTTCTATATTAATGAACATTCAATCCGAATAAATACGAGATGTTTATCTCAAAAAACCTGTGTTAAGTAATTAAGTAATATAGTAAGTAGTTCTTAATATTACAGCCTTTATCGTTATTTTAAGAATGACTTTTAGAACTTACCAATTCTTCGGAATATTCCCAACAGTATTCCTAATATCCTCTTCATCACTTGTGTCAAAGGCATCATACTCGTCTGTGGCTTTACTTATTTGCTCTTGACCAACAGACTTTACTGATTCACTATTTCGACCGCCTTTTCTTGGTGTTTTTTCTTTTGTGGCAGTTTCACTTTCACTGCCTTCTTTATCATTTTGCAAAATTTTCGATTCATCGCTTGTGCTTGACTTGGAGGCGGTTTCTTCTGCAGTGATCTTTTGCCCACGATGATCTTCGTTGATTTGCTGATCTTCCTCGTCACTTTCTGATTCATCACTATCGTCGTCGTCTCCGCTTTCGACTTCTATCGGGCACATAGACAATAGTAACGGGAATCATTCATTATTGTGTCAAGAAAAACGTACCTTCGTCTGAATCGTCTTCTGATACATTTTGATGATCTTCTTCACTTTGTTCTTCAGAAGATTCGTCACAATCATCTTCACTGTCTTCTGGATCGCTGTCTTCACTTTCTTCTTCAGACTCTGAGCTTTCGTCTTCTTGCACCTCCGTTAGTAAGTCCTTCACAATAAACTTTTAATATACTTCGAGTTAATGAGGCTAAATTCAATGTTTTTAAATGTTCAAGTGGCTTTTAAGGATTTCTAGAAGCCCCATTTTCCGATAACCGGTTTTTAAATACCGAAATCTTTCATTTATTATCTAGAACCAATGGAAAACTGAAGTTATTTACCTCATCTGAATCTTCGGATTCTTCAATTTCTTCAGTGTCGTTCGCTTGGATCTTTATTTCTCTACCGTTTATTTTTCGCTTCAATGGCTTCTCAATTTTACCCATATTTAAAGTGTTAAAAAAGTATTAGTTCTTTTTTGTTTAAACGTTCTTAAACACGTGAAATTACCGAGTTCTATTGAGGTTATGTCGTGTTGATGTTGTATAATGTAGCTACTTGTTTGTTTTGCCGACGAGTCAAAAGATCGACTACTACTTCTGGCACCATACCATGACGTCAGCCAAGAGAAAATTCTGATATTTTCAAACAGTAGCCCTAAAATGTCGCAATAATGGGCTATAATCAAGTGTATTTATTTTATATTTTTTACTTATATATTATGCAGGCCAAATCCAGCTAAGCTGGAATAAAAATCTTGGATTTATATATGTTGATCTTAATAAAAGCAAAACAACTGTTGGTTATTTCGCTTTTGCGCAGTTTCACGTTTATAGCGTTTGATCTACTTTTCCCAGGAACTTAACCTCAACAATTTGTGGATAAATATGTCAAAACTTTTTAATTTTTTTTAACTATTTTATAATTTTTATTAGTTTTATAATAATTCCCTGGAAATTTGTGATAGAAAATCTGCGGCGCTCAACTAGGGGTGTAATTGAAATCTTTCGTGTTTTCTTATGTTGAACTCATTAAAATTGCAGTTTTCAAATTTGAATCAGTGTTAACATTAACAAAGACAACTACTTAATATTTTATTTACATAATTAATTAGCTGCAGTGGAATTAGTAGATTAGAGGCATCCATGGAACAAGGCATAGTTCGATTTGTCCCAAAAGGTAAATCCTGTTTTTATTCTTGAATTTCGCTTCTAGTAGGTATTTCACATTTGCCATTTGATTTTTGGGGCTGCATGTACACAGGCAGTTGCAATTTTGGAAGCTCTTGCATGTGGGCAGTTATTAATTCAAAAAATGTTGGTCACAGCTTCAGTAAATAAGAAATTTCCTCTCTTTCAGGGGGCTCCAAGCGAGATTTTGAACAATTCAAAGTTCACATTCAGAAAATTGATGGCTCTATTGTTAAGGGCACCAACAATGAATCCTATATTGATGTTACTTTTCCCGAAGGAAACTATTCTCTTGTCAAGTAAGTTTTTTCTTATCATTCAAAAGTCTCCGGCTTTTATACTTAGTTTTCATATAACGATGTCATATATCTAGCTATCCATCTGAAATAAGAGATCTAATTTACTGACTTATAATATTTGACTCCACAATCTGCTGAATCACGCATTATGTATCTTGAGTACTATTAAAATGTATATCTAGAATCGAAACATCTATAATTTGTTAACTAAATTGCGTAATAATTTCTCATCAAAAAGTCGACAATAATCGGAGCATAAAAAATGAATAGTGGTTATACACTTATTTATATAAATCTTATCTTCAAGTATATGCACATACATATGTAAGTAATTGAAAAACCAACCCAGGCCTGGCTATTTACTGAACAAAGCTGTGGTTATAAACAGAAATCCTTTGTGTTTCTAATTAGTATTGATAATGTTGTTTGGATATTGTGCTGGTCGTATGGTGTTTTATAATGGAAGTACAAATGTGCTATAGCCGGTATGGTTTTTTTTCTCAGAGATGGTTCCCTATTAATTAATGCTTTGTTTCATCAGCACATTTAGACAAAGCAACAGCTCCTTTTAGCAATGAATTTCTAAATGTCCATTATCAGTTCACAATTCAATGGGTTTTATATTTGTTAGGCACTATTATGTCTCACCCAATATGAAGCAAGCCAGAGTTTCAGATAAAGCCCACCTGCAATCCTGTGATGACAAAAAATTTAGTATAGACTCTGAAATGAGATTCTATGTTGCGGCTTTTGTACTGGAATTACCAGAGTCAGTTAAACTATTCACTGCTTCAATAATTCCTAATTGTTTTCGTATTCTTGGTTTTACGTTTTGATGCTAAAGTATCTTGAAAGAATGTGGGCAGTGAGGTTTAATTATCGAGTTTTAGCAGAGTTAATGTAAGTAATACTACCCAGATAAAAATGCAGCTGCTAATTTCTCACAATTTTGTCTTTTGCTCCTGTTCAAGTCGGTCCGATATAAGTTGTAAAATCCCGCCTCAGTGCATGCTTTTCTTTAGTTATATTAATTATTTACAAAAAAGTTGGTTGTTTTTACCTGAGTATATCACAGCTTACCTCGTATTCACAATTCAACCCAAACTGCTAGAGCTTAATTATTCGTTTCTAACACTTCGAAAACTTCTGTACTGTAAGTAGTTTCTTACTAGTGCTATACAGTGGGAACTAATGTTAAACCATTCCTAGCAAGGTGTGATAAGTAATTTATTGCATTTTTATTGAGTGCTGAACATCGGTGTCATCATTTTAATGCACGAATAATAAATGTATGCAAAACAGTTATGCTTATTAGAAATTGTTCTTAGCCCACAACATTCACTCGACAGATCCCTGCAAAATTTTAAGGTTCCTGCAAAGTTTTAAATTTCAAAATTTATCGAATTCTGGTAGATATTCGGTTTTACATCACAAAAGAATATTGCATGTAAAAGTGTTTTCAGAAAAAAAAAGTGTTTTTATCGTTTACTTTCTCTTTGATTTATAAGTCAATTCATTTTTCCCAATACGAATTTAAAGTTTTGAAATTACCTATGAAACTACTATCGAATTGCGGTTAAATTTATTGCTTAAAACGTTTAAAAAACGGTCCATTTTTACTAATCGATATAACCATTTTTTTCGGAAGAAAACCTTCATGAAGTACATGGGATTTATCTAAAATTATACAACTATGCAATATTGATTTTTATTAATTGAACTGAACCTTCGACATTGTTGGTTTGATCTTATTTTTTTCGCCAGTTTCTCACATTTTTAAAAATTGCTCTCACTGTTCTTGATCGTTTAATTTCTCAAAATGTATATTTTTAACAAATATACTTCAGTGGACGTTGGTTCTTTGAAGAAAGTCATTACAATATCTGAAAAACACTTTCGGATCTTATTACTACATAAGGTAACATTTGATGAGGTGCATAAAACAGCATTTCCCAAACCTCAACGAAAAAAAAAATTTGATGAACTAGTTACCGATTTATTAAATAAAAGAGATTGCAACTTGGCATATAAATAAATCCCAAGTTCAACTCGTTACTTTGGCAGCAAGCAGTAGAAAAATCGAACAGTTCAAGCACGTTTCAACTCGCTAGTATTAACGTTGTTGCTTATATTTATTTAAAATTAATGAAAAACTGACAAAAACATTTTCGGGCAACGTAAAAACGTTCCGGCTTTACTGCGTTTTCCTTTTTTTTATTCTATTTTTGTATTGAGTGAATTACATTAGGGATTAATATTTATAATAGTTTTGCTATTGTATTTTTTTACGATGGAAAGCTTAGAATTATAAGTAAGTACCATACTTATGATTCTGAGAATCGCTGTTTAAGAAATTTTGAAATTTTACTGAAAGTAGCAGCTCAGTTAAAAAAAGATTAAAATTGGATAAGTTTTATCCGTAGAAATTGCAAATATTTCAAGGACTTCCTGGCGATGATCTGGATAAGATAATTAAAGTTTGTGAAAATGATCTAAATAAATAAATGGGAAGTCGAAGCCCTATGGCCGCCAAGGTCTCCAGACCTAGCGCCAATTGATTTTTTCGAAAAAAACAATAAACTTTTTGCTCCAATTGATTCAAACTAAAATTAAATAACCAAAAGAAACTTAACGAAAAATCGGCTAAATAATTGTAAAGTTTGTCACCTGAATTATAATACACTTATTTCGATTTCATCTCATTTATGAATCATTTGCACTGGAAAATTCAGACTTGGTGTTAGTATCAAATTGTAATATCTTCAATGCATCAAAACAACTACTTTTGTAGATTCGTAGATTGTATGAAATCATGCTTTTCTTGCGGTTTTCGTTTTTAGTTACCAACACTTGTGGTGGCCCAAGAAAATAACTTTCTTCAGTATTTCGAATTAACTTTATTTAGCTGCATCTGAAGAAAGCGTTCATTTTAAGTGGAGTGTAGCTTTAGCAATTTAAATTTCTTAGTTTTCGCTTTAAGTGGCAATTACCGCATATTTTTGCTATGGGCTAGATCCATCAGATTTCTTGTTAATTTATCATTAATTCATTATTGAAAGAAGAATTAATGAGTTAGTTAGTTTCTATCCACTCTTTCTATAATATGCGATTAATGCGCTTCTAAAAACCTGAGAAATTGACTGGTTTCATTGAAAATGCCCCCGATTTCAATTAGTACCGTTTTAGGTCTATTGTAATGTAAGTTAAGTTGCGACGTTCGTGATGCAACCACACTAAATTTAAACGTGTAACTAATCAATTAAACTCCAAAACTCCAAAGACCCAGAAATCCGGATTGTTTTAAGTTAATTGTATATCGCCGCTCTTGGTCTAGATTTCGACATTGAATTTGAAAAGGAAGGCAACGTGCGTTGCGAATGTGCCGCCTTTCACTATTTTCCTTTATCTCATTCTGATACTAAGCGAATGTTTAGTATTGTGTTTTTCTTCATCCGTTCTTGTTGCAAAATTTCTGATTTTAAACACCGCAATGCGATGTTTGGCTAACAATTTTCATGGGTTAATTACAGGTCTCGATGTGCCGAAGCTCAAGTCGTTTTTAATTAAAAAACATCGATTTTCCGGTTTCTTATTGAGCAAATCGAAGACCATGAGGTGAAAAAGTGCAATTTAAGACGTTGTTATATGCTAATAAACTAATTGAGATAAATCGGTTTTTAGCGAGTGAAAAGGCAGTTCTTGTGCAATAGCAGATTTTGTGCAGCATTAGTGCGTACAATGGAAATTATTCATTCAGTCCATCGTTATCACATATTTTATTCATGACCATTAATACCAAGTGCAAAAACTTTTGCACACGGCTGGGAAGAAGCTTTTTCTTACGCCTCTGTATCGCACTGTTTGACAGTTTTGTAATTTCTTTGAACTGTATAGTGGTGACGTGTTTTACAGAGATAAAAGACCGACATTGTAAAGCGATAGAACATGTGGTCGTATAAAAAAATCAGGTATTTTACATACACATCAACGCTGATAGGTTTAAATGTTGTGTTTTTTCGTTTGCCCTTTTTATGCAACACCTTGTATATTAAGTTTGATTAGAGTAAAAAAATTATACATTTATAACGAGGATTTGATGGGTTTATATTTCACCTTTTAATGTTGAGTATGTGATGGGAACTGATGCAAAATATAAAAAATAGTTCAACTTTCTTTCCATGTCGGTTGTAGATTTAATAGGTAATAGATATTTAATAGGAAAACACTATTTAGTATATTCAGATTATTTTTATGCGCGGAAGCTTTTAATATTAATACAAAAATGTGAAATTACTTGACCATTTTGTTGTTTTCTAATCAGAATTACTTCTTAAATGAGTGCGCATTAAGGTGCAAAAATTCTGTTCACCACATGACTATTATGATCTTTGCAAAATAAATGACGACGAATATTTTACAGAACTGAAAGTTTTAAAGAGTCGTTTTCACAGTAAAATTATAACTAGTGAATTTATCGGGCTTTTAGGCCGTAGTGGAAGACAATAATTTCTTTCTGACGTTTCACAAGTACGAGTGGCTTGCATCTTCAGAGGTGTTGAAGCCACATGTGACACATTCGCGTTTGAGAAACGCCCGGAAAAGTTATTTCTACGACTATAACCGATAAAAGTTCGGAAAACTCATCAGTTTCAAGCAATTGCCTGTTTGAATCACATGTTTACTTGCTGATTTTTCAGTGGACATTAACAATTTAAAGATTAAACTGCTAGTGTCTAGAAATCAGGCAGGACAAACCATTAACTTCCGTTTGATACAATCTACCATAAAACCTATAGAAGTGACGATAAGACATTTATGTAAATATTCCTATTTGTTTTAATTCGAATTTAAATTCTCGAATGTTGGTTATAAGCAATATTTGAACTGATGTGCACGTTTTTGTTTTTCGGTGTTGGTTTTTTCTGATGAAAACGTTTTTAATCGGTGTGTCTGTTCAGTTTGTAAAATCATCTTATATTACTTGGAAAATGGTAYGKTTTCGAAACGTACGTACGTACGTACGTACKMWAATACGTTTAGGTTTAATGATCTAATTTGGCCAAACAAAATATAGGAGCTTAACTTTTAAATTATATCTTTAATTTTTCCTATGTTTGTCTAGTATTTTCCTAAGTTTTTCCTTCTGGTTATTTATTGCGSATTAATTTTAATTATGTTTTTTTGTATTTGAAATGTATTATTTCTAGRTTATTTCTATGTATAATCTACAAATATACAGGAGGTTCTTGAGTATTGTTCAAATGGAGTTTCTCTGAACTTAATTCTGAAAAGCAACCTTATTACCTAGTGTGATTTGTTCAGAATTTTTTTTTTCACATTTTTTATTCTTATATTATTAAATAGTTTTGATAGCAAAAGATTATCATGTTGACATTTAAAAGTGGACCACCCTGTAGGAGAATTATAAATTTATTCCGACTTTACCATCTGAATTCATCATTCCGCTGATTGCGCTGCAAGCAAGGGCAGAACGAACTTTTTCAGTAATTTTTCCTTTGTCTCATAATGTTTTATTCATTAAACCCAAACAATATCCATTGTTCTCTAAAATCGAT